GTGTTGTGAATTCAAAAGGTAGAGAACTGATACAGAATTTGTGTAACACCCAGAGCAACACTCTGCTTTCTCATATTATGAAGCTAATGGATTCAGAAAGGAAACAAATAAACTAACAAAAAAGCAGAACTCCAAAACCCCAACCTATAACAAAAAGGGAACAGCTGTTGAAATTCGAATTTCATGTCAACAAGAATAATTTATAGCAAAGAATATAGAAAGCATTCACCAAATAAGCCCTTTGCCAAAATAACATTAATTTCATACCATACAAAACAAGTGAACAAAACAAGTCAAAAAATAAGCCCACATATTAAAAAAATAAGTGAAGAGTTTAGTATGAACCAGTCAAAATGTGAGAGCTGTTAGTAAAATAATGGAAACTTTGTTGGAGATGCCTGATGAGCTACAGAGGTGCTAACAAGTAAAGTCAGGCATTGTGATAATATTGGAAAAAAGGTATTGCCAAAAATTCAACCCAGTTCACTGAGAAGGGAAATTAAAAAGGCAAATAAAAAGAAATGTAAGTAATATTTACAGTTGGAAAAGACTGTCATCTTCTACTGTATCAATCTAATGCGTTTGGTCTCCTTTTAAAGTCAAAATGGGGACATATCAAAATTAAAAGTGGCCCTTCCTCCCTTTAATTCCTCCACAGCATTCTCCTATTGAACAGTGCACTGTGTAGGATGAAGAAAAGTTACTAAACAAGGAGAGGAAGGAGGGGGGAATGTGGAAATTTACTTTATGCAAATGAAGTTTAAAGTCATTTGAATTATTAAAATAAAATTAAAATGTTATTTTAGAACACAATATTGAAAAAAAAATAAAGACATTGCAGTTATTTTCAAATATTCTTGACAGCAGCAGACTTTTAAACCAGGGGCTTTGATCTGAGAGAGACTTGACAAAATAGTGACAGACAAAGTGTGGCAATGGACTGACAAGGAAGGCTTTCATTGGACTGCTTGAGAAAATAGGATTATAACCTGTTTTACCTGCCCTCCCACCCTGCTCCTCCTCCCTGGTACTGAATGCTGATCTGACACCTTAATCCTGAAATGAAGTTTCCCCTTCCTGTTACAGGAAAGGTTAAGAAGTACAAGCCGGCCCTCTGGCACTGTGAGGTCCAGGTGTGCAAGGGAGGAACACGCCTTGTCTGGGGGCCCCGGAGCAGGGAATGCTCTCTCCTGGCTGCTGACAACACCAAACGCTGCCCTGGCTGCTCAGCCTTGGCAGTCTGAATTCATAACTTCACACCAGGGGACAAATGTACCAAGTCAACTCCAAACATTTGTTCAAGCCTGAAATGCAGAGTAAACAGATAAACACACTCCAGCAATTAAGACAGGGAACACAGCTGTGAAACAAAGCTAAAGAGAAGCCTGACGTTGTTTATATAAGCACATCCAACTTGATGGGACAATTTTAATAAAATCTTACATAAATATTGTAGCAAGACAGTTTTGAAGAGCTGTTTAACTGAGTTATCTCTGAAGTCCTGGAGAAGATAATCCAGGTCCACTACATTTTTGAGTACTACAAAGTTTACACAAGAGTGTTTAAAGATTAAAAATATTTTATTTACACTTTTCTTTATACACATTTTATACATTTTTTTTCAGCTTGAAACCCAAACAGAGCACATATGCAAGTCTGAGCATACTGTANAAAAAAAAAAAAAAAAAAAAAAAAGACAAGAAAAATGCTTTAAAACATTTATAAAGAGGCAATTCTTAAATTATTCAGATAAGCTTATAGCAGTCCCAGGGTAATAATTAGACAGTTAATCCAAATGTATATATGAGGACATAGACATATAATTCTGATTTTCTATAGGAAAAGTATTTCCAATAGCTAGACACAAACACAGTACAGTTTGAAAATAACTTTTCCTGTTAACTTATCAAATACATTCTTTTCAATACAAACAATCTTATATTGTACACTGGAATTGTGGGAATTATAGTGGAATTGCAATCTCCAGCATATAATAATTTATTTTAGAAAGATCTACAAAAATAACAATATATAGGGAAAAATATTTAACATGAACACAAAATTCACTCTTCCCTTCACCTGCTCCAACATTGACATAAAAGTTAGGTGGGTCCCACTGAGGTAATAAAAGCCCCTCTAAATATAGCTGACTTTACAGTCCTACAGAGCACTTAATTTCCTAGACTTACAGTAAGATTTTTCTACCAGAGCCATAAATAAAAACTATCTGCAAATTGAAATTATTTTCCCCAGCTACCAACTTAATATTAATCCAAAGGTATTTGAAATTGATTTTTGAAAGCTATTTTTAAAAGATTACACAAATTGAACTTAGAGAAGTGTAAAAATACTAGTAGAGGGACACACAGGAAAGCTGTGCTCAAAACAAATTAGTTTTTCTGCCACCTGCCAGATACAATTAAGTTTTATGAAGTTTACCCACACAAATTGGAAATTTTCAAGTTACCAACTTTCAAAAGTAGAACACAGATGCAAAAGTAGTCATTAGTATTTATTTTAAGCAGCTTTAAGTTGTTTAACATACATGAAAATCTCAGCATGTTAACTACGGGACACCAGCAAGATGATGATGTGTTCAAATAGATGATGTGTTTTCCAGTTATGTTCTTTCCCACTCTCATTTAGTAAACCCCGCCACATGTGACAGACAACTTCACTACCTATATGTATTCAAGTAACTTCACCACCTATATATATTTTTATTAACAGTAGAGATGTTTTCTCTGATGGCCCCAACCCTATAAATTCTTAAGCACAGGCTTAGTAACACATGTGCTTACATGTTTTCCTTTAAGTAGCTTAGAATTTTCTGCTTCTTTGTATTGGACTATTCACATATGCAAAGTCCACATCTGAAGTGCTAAAAGAATCTGGGGTCAAATTCAGTTTTTTTTAAAGTATATTAAAAAGGCAAAATACCTCTACAAATGCAATTACTTCTAAAAAGACTTCAACATATACAGGCTGACACAAACTATAAGTTTATTTTAAAGAACTGTCAGTGTCTCCCCACAATGCTTACCCTCCCGTTGCTAAAGAATGGACATAGTGAGTTAAGCAATGGGGTTTTTTACATCAGTTTGAATCTGCAGCTGCTGAATTTTATCTTTGTTTCCTGAGTGTCAAGTGAGGCTTCATCCCTGACACAAGTAGTTACCATATTATCAGCAAGAGGAAAGACAGCACTTAGGATTCTAAGGCAGGAAGGACTCAAGAATACATAGCTGCAAAGCTCAGGAACCAGGGCAATATTACAGTCAAACCCTCAGAGCTAGTTCTAACAGGACTGCTATCATACTGCAGGAAGTCAGGTATCCACATTTTTCAAAAGAAAATAACATAAAAGCAGGTTACCAGGTAGCTCATATGCTGCCACTTGCTAGCAGTGCTTTCTGAAACAGCAGGACCTCTGTAAACCTAAGGTCTGCTTTCTTCCAGTCAAATTAATGGGGAAAAAAATATCTAAAGTTTATTTTTGCCAGCTGACTAGTGATGCCATTGCCTCCCACAATGAAACTACCAACACTTTGTGGCAGAAAGTGAGCTATTTTCTCCTTATGCAGTACTTAAAAAAAAAATCTGCCCCCTAAAAACAGACCTAGGAGCATATGAAATGGGAACTGGCAGTATCCTCCAGTCCCTTTACAAGAACATTGTGCTTTTTGTCCATTGTCTCACTAGGAAAGAAAATTTCTTCCTGAAGTTGGTTGCTAAATTAAGACATGAAGCTGATACATTTTTTTTCTATATATGTGAGGAAAAAAACCCAACTAAATTGCAACTCATTATGTCCACCTTTCTAAAAAAAGGCAAGTACATTTGCTTTTCAAAGCAAATCATATGTTTTCATAAATTCATAAATATCATAAATTTTAAACATGTGGGTGACCTTAGATTTGCTGGTATTCCATCATGAGATGGGAATAGAACCTCCTCAAATCTAATAAACAAAGATCATAACTTTGCTATTCCTTGACAAATGAGAGGCATTTAAATGTTTTTTAAAACCCATCTTAACCTGACCCTAATGCTCAAAATTTGATAGTAATGGGCAATTCTTATTAGCCATCTTAGGTTTGTTCCCATCAAGGTACTAAATTATCACTAAATTATCTGGAGCTAAATACTAAGAGCAAACATAAAAGAATTCAATTAAAAAATCCCTCCCAGTAACCAAAGTAACGGTCTCAAAAGTTCCATTATACTTACATAAAGGAGAAGAGAAGCTAATTTTTGTATTTCAGGTATCAAACAATGAACGCACAGTAGATATGTAAATTGACAAAACAGTCTCATATCCCCTCCATTCAAATCCCAAGCAAATTCCAACCATCCCTAATGCTGGAAAGGTTACAGCCAGCCTCTCAATAGAGACATAGCTTCAGGGAAGCTGAAACCAACAGTTCAATTATAATTTCACTGAACAATTACTACTACAATCCTGAACAAGATCTTTCAGAACTGGGCACCTGAAGATAAATATGAGCTTAAAAGCAGAGCACCAAAACCGATCTGGTTCTTCATTTTTCAAGTGTCAGCACTCAGCAATGACTTTACTGGCAGCTGCTGAGTGCACAGAGCTTCAGAAGATGCTTAAATGCAGACTCAAAAATGTAACTTGAGACACCCATATCCTAACCATTACTTTTAATAAAGTCTTAGCCATGTCTCCAAGACATCTGACTCTGAACACCTGATATCCAGAGCCAGGGCTGCTCCTCACACTGGCACTGGCCCCACTAAGTGAAGTACTCTACTCTATGTAATGTGCCCTTGACAGCCGCCTCACACAGGATTAGCTTGCTGCCTCATTAAGAAATAAGCTGGTGACAAAAAAAAACCAACCAAACAAACAAAAAAAACCCAAAAAAAACCCAAAAAAACCCAAAACCACAACAAAAACACCAAACAAACCAACAAAAAAACCAACCCCAACAAACAAACAAATTCTCCAACCTGTCTTTTTATTCTCTTGTGCCCCAATATTCCATGAACTATGTACAGTCAGCACACAGCCAGCACCTACCAGAGTCAGTTTATCCCTCCCCATGTAGGGTGATGTACACATCTCACAGTGAAACTGAGGTTTTAGTGTAAGCCACATTTTCTTTAACTTAGGCTATCAAGAAAGTAAATTAGATTTCTAATCCAGTAAACTGAATTCTTATTAAAAAAGACAAATTTAGCTGCAAACTAGTCTGCATTTGAAGGCTGAGTATCAATATTTGGTCCAGTCCCTTCTGGTGTAAATAACTTATCACTACAGCTATGATGTCAAACATTCCCTCTTTGTTCTAAAACATATGAAAATACTCCATTAATAAATCATTTCTAACAATAAACAACCCTAAAAATCTGTTGACTTGCCATATAGCTCCAAAAACTGACATTTCAACACAGAACATAATTCCTACAAAGATAATGGAACACAATATGAGAAGTTTTACACATTGTTTTAACTTCTATAATTTGAAATTCATTTACACAAGTAGGTGTTATTTTTAACATAGAAAATTTAGGGTGATTTTGGTCCCTTTGTAAGTGCATTCTTTGCAACTCCCTGAGTAGTGTACATTCCTTTTCTACAGTGAATTCTGACTGGAAGATGCTGAATAACATGGTTTTGCATTGCTGCATATAAAGTAAAGTCTATTGCTTAAAATGAAACCCAGCAGCATAAGATTTTACAAAATATGCAGCTCACATTTCAGCATCTGAACTACGTGTGAGCCTTCAGCTTCCCCAGATGGCTCCTTTGGGGCTCTAGAAATGCTCTAACTTATATCCACAAAGACAGTCCAAATGCAGTTACTGTTATTATTTATGTCTTGGCAGATAATTCTTATCAATCTACTGTCATTTATACCTGCAAGTTAACACAATGGAATAGTCAAAGCCCTCTTGGACCAGCTATCTCTATTCAGGCACTCCAAGGTCAGTAGCCATAGTTGTGTAGGTTTTCATAAAAGAAACAGAAATTATATTAACAAACTAATCACCTAACTGCACATTTTCAAAACACAGTAGTTCTTAACAGATATTAATTAAATAATAATAATAATAATAATAAAAATATTATACCACTTCAATATGAGTACTCATATTGCAGTGTGAGTATAAGAAAAGTATTGACAATAAACTGTAGCATATCCAGTATCCAGTTCCAAAAATAACTGTGGGTTACAGCAGTGCTGAACATTTGCTTATTGACGTTTTATATTTTTATGAAAAAAGAAAACTGGGCAGCAGATTGAAAAAAAAAAAAAAAACTCAGGTAAAATGAGTTTACTTTTTAAGAAATAATTTATAAAATAAGAAATAACTAACAGTTCATTATGTAGCAACAATATAAAGAGTTTAAGGTTACTGAATCAATCAGCATATACTAAAGGTAAGATACTTCGATACCAAATGAGGCTTCCAGTTTCACTTAAGAACTTTGAACTATTTAGCTCATGAAAGAATACCCTAAATCAACAGATATGGCTGAATCTGTGCACTAGTTAAAATATCGTAACTGCACATAAAAAGATGCATTTATATACAGTTTTTACAGTGTATGCACATGTGTGTATACATTTTTTTACTCACCAACAAACACAACACAGACAATAGAAGGCAGCATAGAAATAGTGTTTTGAATATAAAAATGCTTTGTTTTCAATTTAGTAGAAAATGTGTAATTTGCATTTTGGCAGACTTACTGGTACAACTATACAAAACCAGGAAAAGGGTCATGCAAAAGGGTTAAAATTCTTCTCCAAAGTAAATAAGGGAAAACAAAAACACCTAGTAGATTTGAGAATACTTTGCAGTTAATGGAAAAAGCATCTAAAAGACAACATAAGGTACAGAAATAGTTTGGTTTTTCACTTTATACCTGGTTGTACCCTAGTACGGTTATTGTGATGTTCAATAAAAAATTAAAAGAACATCTTTCTTCCCTTCCTTTCACAAATATTTTGTCAAATTCACCTTATTTCAAAAGCATAGTGATATAATGGCCATTAAAAAAAAAAGAGAACATATTGTGAACATAAAATGTTACCAAAAAAAAGCAGACTCAAAAATATATTTTTTTCTCATACTTAAAATTATATTTGTTAAAAAAAACCCAAAGCTTTCACAAGGTCAGACCAACTATCACCTTTTCTAATAAACTTGGTACACTCCCTGTACATCCTGTTTCTCTTGAGCATTGAGCCATTGTTCTTATACACAAGGAAATGACTCTGCAGGAATTCAACTGTTTGTATTTTTTTTCAAATTACTATAGTTCTTTTGTATTTGATTGGGTTTTTCATTCCATTTTAGCTGCAACGTCTAACATGCTCCAAGACATACTCAGGGAAGTGCAGGCTGCAGACCTGCAAGCCATCCAGCTTGCACGGCATCCTTGGATATTCATCTTCTTTCCATTTGTTCTCCTCTGGATCAAAAGTGAGAATGGAATCACTGTAATGACCATTGTAACAAAGGCCTCCAAGAACCATTATCTGTTTGTCCAAAACAGCTACACCATGACCACTCCTACCTATTGGCATAGAAGCCAATATAGTCCATTGGTCAGTATCAGGGTCATAAACCTCTGTAGATGGACATCCTTGAGATTCAAAGGAAGCTCTCAGGATCACACAAACACCACCAAAGACATAAAGCTTACCATTATAAGAAATCATTTTGTGAAAGCACCTCGCATAATTCATTTTGCATTTGTTCTCCCAACAGTTAGTGACCACTTGAGTTCTCCGTGTTCGCTGCTCTACTGTCCCTTCTTTACTGGGATCAAACACACACACTTGCTTAGAAGTTGAAGATGATGTAATTCCGCCAGTGATATACAACTTGTTACCAAGCACAGTCCCTTCATGTCCGTACTTATTTACTGGATAGGGATCCACAAATTCCCATTTATCTTCAGTAATATCATACCGTTCAGTGGAGTAAAACGTTTCATCACGGGTTCTCCCAGCCACTGCGTAAACATACCTGCCAATCACTCCAACAGCAAACTCAGAACGTGGCACAGACATGTCTGCCATTCGTAACCAAGTGTTCTGTCTTGGGTCGTATCTAAACACTTTGGACGAAGCATGGAACTCACCATCTGGCCCCAGTTCTTCCCCACCTAATAAGAACACGAAGTTATTTACAATGGCAAGGCAGTCTGGTCGTAAAGGTACTTGAGGACCCTCTAGCTCCCACCAGACCCTTGGTTTGTGCAAGAGAAGAATTTTACTGTTTACCATACTGTGTCCTATCATTCCTCTAAATACTGCAGTCTGGGGTTTGGCTGAACGAATTTTGTTCGATTTCATTTCCATCAAAGGCTGTTGGTGAACGCTATGAAAGTAATTCATGGCTTGGTCAACCTCATGTCGCAGCTGCCGGGAGTATCGATAAAACTCTGATGTTTTTACCTATAAATACATTTAAAAGATATTAAATTCTGACCAAGAGAAACAATCCAGAAAACCTAAATCACTGTATGTCATTAGAAGATTACTGTACTTTGTTTCATTCAGGCAATCTCGAGAGCAATTGCATTTATGCATGAAGGTTTAAACTGATGTATTGTTATCCAAAATCCAGAAGAGCAGTGACTAACATTTTCAGCAGAATAATCACATGCAGAATTTATGCTGGAATTAGGCAGTCTAAAAACCATTATTCTTTCTCCTGAAAACAGCTTCTGTTCACCTTCAGCTTAATGGATGAAGTACAAAAATTAAAAATTCCATTTTTTCCTGGGTTGCAAAAACACTCTACACACCCATTCTGTGGTTAACAAGATCTACTCTAGTCCATTTGTTTTTCTGAATTCTCAGAAATTAAGCCTGAACTCTGCTAGGCTCTGCTCACAGGGTTATTTAATTGCCATGGGGTGGGAAGGGAAGGTACTCAACCGCCTTCCTTCAGAATATGTGCTTGCACCAACCACTCATCATGACAACGACCTTATGGTTTCCCCTCTGAGTCTCCACATCTTAACACATGCCTTTAACACAAGAAGGAAACATCTCCACCTCTAATCCTTTGGTTGTACATTTCTGTGACAAAATGCAGAGGTAGGTTTGAACTTCCACTTCCCAGGTGAGAGTTACAACCTAAAAGCCATACCTGCTCAGTTTTATTGGAGTTGTAGGCACAGAAGAAAAGAATTCCTTCTGGGACCCTTCCTACCATCTAAGCCAATTCAAAGGCCAGAGGCTGGTCCTGAGACCATTCCAAAACACACCCCTGTCTTGAACGTTTTAATTAATCTAGCTCAAGGCAATCCTCAGCTCACCGTGGGAATCTCTTCAGATGCCTCACTCTTCCTGTACAGTCTGGTGTAACACGGCATTCTGAATCACACTTCTAAAACAAAACCTGCTAGATGCTGCCAAATCCACAAACCCTCCATCAGATTTGATCCTAAATCCCAGTTTATTGCACATAAAATTGGATTGCTTTCAAACAGTCTAAGAGCCTTTAGTATCAACCAGCTCCAAATAAGAAGCAATGCTCTGAAAAAAAAATCAGTGGCCACTCTGAAATTTCAGGTGATCACAAGGTAACATCAGGAGTTACTCTTTTTAAGTATCTTTTACCCCACCTCCTCCTATCCTCTGTCCCAAAGAACAAATGCCTCAGGGGTGGTGGTATGAATTTTGACATATATGGAAAGCAATTTGTAAATTAATATTCTTTATACCTTGTGAATAAAGTAGCTGCTTGTTCCATAAATATATACCATTAAAATTTTGTTAGCCATCTGGTAATCGTATCTTTCTTGTGTAGTAATTAAGACATTCTGCTGTCAAAGAATGATTTTTAAAAAAAATCTTCTGAACTGTTATTACTGAATACAATTTGCACAGTTTTTGAGACAGTTTGAAACACCAGATTTCAAAAAGAAAGCCGAATATTAACCTACTATTGCAAAGCAATGTATAGCTCAAGAGTGACTGTGACTTGATGTTTTTATTTATACTTTTTCTTTCCTCCACTTAAATTTTGACACAGTCAACAATTTCAAACAATCTTTGTTTGAAAAAAGGAGGATGGTCACATGCAGATCATATATATTATTCTTGTAACAATATCCAACCTCTTTCTACTATTTTTACCAGACGTGATTTTGGAGCAAAAAAGTCTACTCAGGTATGGCACTTACAGAAAACACACAGTAAGCCAAACTCTTGTGGGAACAACAGCTCTATTTTCTTGTTGCAAATAAGTAATATATCATACAAAGGCAGATTTGCTCATACGGTATTTATTACAATAAACCATATACCTTGCCTGACTGAAAAGACTGATCATAAATTACAGAAAATATGCTGGCAGGGAGAACCACAACACAGAAAAATGGTAACATATAAAGGTTAAAAAAAAAGAAAAATAAAGTTAAAATAACAAAGAATCATGGCTGGTCTACTTTATCCTTAAAATTAACTTTCAAATTCTAAGCCAGCAAGACTACTTCAGGCATTCCAAACTGAAGCCATCTTCTTTGGAGTTAAATGAAAATACAAATTATCTTTGATCCACCTATATGCAGTTCAGGTTTTCTTGGACAATTATGGAAAACAATAGGATCAACATGCTTACAATGTGAAACACATCAGTAAAGCCTGGCAGAGATTGAAATTTTTTTTCTTTCTCCCTCAGCATTTACAACTCTGTTATTAGATATAGAAATTGGAATGCCAGCCAGAAACTGGAATTAAAATAAGCCTACAACCTCATCACTGTACTCCTCCACATAGCCTAAATCTTACCCCATGAGAGCATGCCAAAGAAAACAAGGAGTATCTCAAATTCCAGAGAGAAACCCTCAAGACCAGGGAATCAATTTTTTAGTTTACTACTGCTTATCTTGACAATGGCACTCATGTCAAAGCAAAGCCTCAAGCTCTTACCTTAAATGAAAAGACATGATGGAGCAAATGCAACTCCCCGTTATTAACACCCCTCTGTGACTGAAGTTCACGGGGAAGCTTCGACAAGCACAAGTTTGAAGAGCTGAACATGAAAATACACAGCACTAGCAATTCTTACAACATGCAAAAAAAAAAAATCCCACAAAACAAGAGTGATAGACTACCTCACTTCTGGTACGAAAAGGTAATTGGAGCATTCCTAGACTTGGCTGCCAAGGAAAAATATCCCTGTTTTTAGCCATCCACCTTTCACCAGCATGATCTCTGCCACACAGGAGCAGTACCTCTCTTGAGGCTCAAATGACTGTCTAAGATGAATGTTAGGATATGCCTATAGGAAAGTACAGACTGCTCACACTTGCTTAATGCAAATGAAAACAAAGCAAATGTAGGTCATTTGGCCCACTTTCAGTCACACATTATGAATGTTCCAGAAATATTTGAAAGCCCTGTTCTACTAGTAATAAAAACCCTCTGCTTGCACTTTCAAATAATTTTACAGTAATTTTCACAACTTGTGTATATAATCAAAAGAGACAAGCATTTAAATTAAGGTAAGTTGTGAATGTCAGCAGATGAAAGCCCATGACCTTTTGCAGGAATTTCTATCTGATACTCAAAACACACAGAAGGAAAGCCTTCAGCTTTCAAAAGTAGGCTCTGCCACTACCTGTAAGTAGCAACAAGAAGTTCATCAGCAAATATCAAAGTGCTTATCAACCGACCAATCTTCCTGTTAAGTTCAAATGGAGAAGCTCTGGAAGCAATGTGTCCATAATTACCAACACTCAAACAGAACACACAGATTTCAGCAAAACAGGTGGAAATGTACAGCAATTGTCAGGAACCCTGAAGTGAAACAAATGTACATTCCTAAAGAGTACACATAATCAACTCTGAATTGATAAAAATATATAAATGCTTCAAAGCATTTTCAAAGTTTTTCTTTAAACTGTCCTGTTATCTTGCTGAAGGGTCTCAAAGGCATTTTAAGTGGACTTCCATATTAACCCCAGTCATACCATGAAAAAGGGAATTTAATCCAAGTGCTAAAGCTTTGTTCAGGTGATTTTCTGTACATTCTTTCCAATTCTTTAATTTTCTGGAGAAAACCCACTTAAAGACGTTATGCTTGGACACAGCCTAATGCAAGAGTTTCCACAAGATCTGCAGAGATGGAGAAATGGGAACTATCTCAGTGTATGAACTACCAATGGTTCACAGTCTTTCTGCTACACAGACTAAGAAAAGCAGAAACAAAATCAAATGTGTTATTCCATAATAAAAGACGTAAAAATAATTAAAAACATCCATTCCTTTACTTGCCCCCTTGGGCATCCCTCCAGTCACAGTAAATCTGAGCTTTAATGCATTTCCTCTTTTTCATTTTAAACCAGTGAAACACTCCATAAAAAGTGCTGGCTTTCCAAGTTAGTGCAGTGATTAATCATTGCCTATTTTTCTGCTGTATTGAATGCATGCTTTTCTAGTTGTAGCAGCTATGGAAGTCTCCAAAACTTCAATTTGTATTATATGAAGAAGAAAAAATTAAGCCATTACTTCCATTACTTTCTAATTTGAAAAGTTATCTCCACAAAAGACCAGCTGTACCCCACATTATGTTCATCAGCTTTCCCCCTCCCCAAAAACAATTATGCCAATTAATAAGCTGCAGGAAGAGCAATGAAATGCCAAGGTAAATGTTCTGTAACACATTTGACTTCAGTAAATAGACTTTTTAAAACAAAATTTCCTCATACAACCATTTACAGCTACTGCTGTATTTGTATTCTTGTTACTTAGGTTTGTAATAAAAAGCTTTCAAAATCAGAAAGGCTTCTTTTGAACTGCCCAAACAAAACAGCTATTATTTGTGCACCTGGTTACTAAATTTTAGTATGTTATTATATGGGGTGGCTATTATCTTGCTTCCTTCTGTAGAACTGGTAAAAATCCTCAAAGACAAACAAAAACAAAAGCACAGAAAAATCTCAATGGCTCATAATGTCACTTTATCATCTCTAGACATGTAAACAGAGAACTATTTTTAAAGATTACAACTTTTTGTGCTAATGTTTCCTAAGGCTGCCAATTTGGAATGTGTGATGCAACTCAAACTCAGCTACGAGGAGTTCAGAAGCAATGCCCCACCTTTCCAACGAACAATGACGGCATCTGTATCACACTTCTAAGGATCAAACTCCTACTTGAAACAAAACCCCAAACTTATTTTACTAGAGATTAACCTCAGTCAAAACTAAAGATCCATCAACTCCACTAACAAAGATCCTTATTATTTTCACATCTGTTTATCTCCAGCCGTATTCTAATCACAGTTGTAAGCTGGTATGAAAACTGCTCAGTACCAGTGAAGGGCTATTCTGCAAGAATAGAAATCACTTAAGTGTTTTCAGCCTAACCATAGAAAGGCACAGCCTCTGAGAAGCAAGGACGATGCCCTCAAATTGATTACTCAGCTGCTCCTTTTTAGAAGCTGGGAATTGTCAAAATCAAGCTGGAGGCTAACTCAATCTAATATTTCAAATCAGAGTGGAGTCAACAATCTATATGCCACAATTAAGAAGCTCTGCATGTAATAAATACTGCTAGCAAATCTATTCAAATCAACAGTAATCTTAACACCCAAAAACACTGAGCACAGCACCTATTTACAATAAGAGGGATCCCTAACTTCATTCACATTTCTTATTCTATACTTCAGCAAATGAAGTTGTGTAAATAGATACAGATGTACTACTAGAAATGGAGGTAAACGGGAAAAAAAATTCAACACATTTATGTAAGGTAAAGCCACGGTAACATAAAATTACAATGACATAATCTCAAAAATTACAATTTTCTAGGAACAGGACAGGAGGTATTAAAAAATAATGTGCTATTCATCCTACCTCTACAAGAGAAGCCGATGAATCTAGTGATTAGTAAACTTTTGATTTAAGCTAGCAATTAATAAGCATGAGCTAGTCATAATAAACCTTACAGACTAGACATAAAAAAACTCTGGGTTTTAAAGACAGATTTTGAAACAACATTTCAATCTGAGTAGTACACAGAAACTAAATGGAGCTTAAACAGTATATTTCAGGGAAATCACAACATGGTTGCCTCCCGTAACACAGAGATTAACTCAGTGATGCAGGTGAAAGGCACTTTTAACTTCCTCAAGACTTACAGAGCTATGGATATGTTTAATAAAAAAGGAAAGCACAACATGAATAGTGAAACTTGTGCTTTTCCCCAAATACTTTGCTTATTCCCTAAATCCTTATTTGATTTATATTTCCATTTTTGCCCATGCATCTGCATGTACTTTAAAGGCTGAGGAACAAAAGGAGTACCAACCCATAGTTCAGAAGACTTTCTTCCAGGACATTTTGTAGTAAGCAACTATGCTGTACCTTCACTTGTGCATTCTAAATGCACATCAGCCTCCAGGTATTAATCTAGACTCACCATTTTTTAAATTGTACATCTCTCAAAAAAAAAAAAAAGTATGGAACAGAAGGGCTTAAGAGGACAAAAGTATCCTTACCATGACTTGCAAAGTTAAATTATACAAGTTATTTATATGCTACAGTGACAGGCATCTGAGAAATGTGTATTAGAAAGATTACAAAAAAGTACTTAACAAGCCAGCCAGTGTATAGCCAATACAGAGTTTGGTGAACTGGAAGAGTCAACCTCAGACTGTATTTGGTATATTCATGCATTTAGTATGTGCTGGCTTCAGGGTGGATTCTGTTTGTTGATCTTCAAAAAAGGGAGTTATACCACTATTTCCCCATTCTACAGATAGAAGAAAGAGGCTCTCTCTGAGTTACTGCCAGAACAGTGAACAGACATGTTCTTTTATTAAAAAAATAAAGTGTGCTATATTCTGATATTGGCTCCAACTGCAGTTGTCCTTTGTCACTTGTCCTACTGGATAACTTAATACTCTCCAGCCAGGGTAGAACACAAATGCATTCCTAGCTGCAGTAACAAAGGACATAATTAGCTCTGCTTCCCTCTGCTGAGCTGTCTCACTCCATAATCTGCACTGGTTTTTCTCTGCTCCCACACACAATTAACAGGGAGGGTATTACCAGAGAAACCTTTTGCATACAGGTATATAATCTGGCATGCTGAAAACAACTGGTCTCCTGAAGTTGTATCTGTTGAGCCATTTGCTAGCTGTCAAGATAAAACTTGAGAAGCACTGTATGCAGGGTTTATACCAGTGATAGTAAAACCAACTCCAGAAGTTATACCCAAATATAATGCTCAAGACTAACATACACTTTCACTTGCACTTACAGAAATCTAACTGAAGACAGCTTGAGCTGGCATCTCCAAAACAAATACTGCTGAAGCAGACTCACACAAATCCTTACCTTATTAGATTAACCTCAAAAGATATGTTGTGAATTCTGTAAGTTTTATTACTGAAGGGCTTAAATTATGTATTAATATGGTAAAAGTGCTATTTAAAACAAGACACTATACAGGATTCTGCAGAGTTGAGCTCCTACTAGTTAAAAATGTTTTAACCCAATATAAACATTACATTAGTGTTCTAAAATATGTTTAGGCATTTATTTTATGTCTATAATCCAATATAGCATCATAAATATATTTTATGTATTATTGCTTCCTATACTCAGTTCACACACACAGAAAAAAATCCAAATATAAAAATTAACTAGTCTGAAGTAATTAATAACTCTTATAATCTAAAATACAAATAAGTCTAAGAATTACTGCTTAGATGATCCAGTGGCCCTGAAAAACACCAAAACCAATACAACCATGTCTGTATATTCAGTAGACACTAAAGTAAAAATATATGGAAGATTAATTTGTAAGAAGCACAACAAAAATATGGGGTCTGAATTCCTATTAATTTCCTGAGAAGTGAAAAATACAGAAGTTGAAGTTGTATATTATAACACAAAATTAACATTGTTAAAACAGCACATATCAAGTAATTCCTAACCTGAACAATGTTACTGGCCTGTGAGAGAACTGCTTACAAAGTACTGTAATCCTCTACTGTTAACAAATATTCAGAAATTCTGAAGAACTAGAAAACAATTTTTTGTCTGTTCTTTAACAGAAGAGTAGAAAAGGCAACTTCTCTTTTAACTCTTATTCTATACACTGAAAATTAACTATAAGATCACCTGTTACAGAGTCCTCTGATACCTAAAGTAAATCATTACATTTGATGCCATCAATAATTTCTGATTGTATTATGTCTTGTGTACAACCAAGACAATGTGTAACTTTGCAGGATCAGGGCTTACTTCTAACTGCTGTGTAATAGCACAAGCACTGAAGAAGATAAAACAACAGCACCATTCTGCAGATTTAAGAGCAGATGAGCAGATGCTACTTCTCATTTGTAAATAATTCTCTCGTGTACTTAAGCCACATAAGAGCTACAGTCACTATTTTTTATTATATTGATAACAATCATCATAATGTATACCCTACATATTATGTGCAGGTCTAAAGCCTCTGGAAACAATAAGCAACATGTGGAAAACAGTTAAGAATATCTGAAATCAAACTAGACACAAGTGACCTTATTTCAAAAGGTCTTTTCCATATTAAGTCACATATAACCATGTACTGCAAACATACCTGTTCTCCAGCCACTGTAGTATTATTGTCTAATAACCAAAGACAACACTTCTAGATGTTTGCCTTCTGTACTTTACTTTATTAGAAAAATAATGCTATCATTTTGTTCCTTTTCATAGCTTCTGGAATCTTACCTATTTAATGGCATGCTGCCCTAGCTAAATGATGAATCCTGCCTATTGCTTTTCAAATGCACCAACCTTCTCAAAAACACTGGATGGTGTCATCAAACAAAACCTGATGTTCTGAATGATGGTGTCCGTATGTCTCCAGCGTCTTCTATCATGGCGTAGCCAGGCCTGAACAGCTTCATACAGCTCTATCTCTGGAAACCTGCTCAGATGATCATTATCCAAGTAAGACATGAGCTTCTCAAAGCTCAGATATGAAAGAAAGTCAGGTCTGGACATGAGTGGCACAAAATTCTCTAGCAGAAAGGAATCCAATTTTTCCCTGACTCCTTCGATGTTTACACCAAAATCATCCAGAAGTCTCATAATTTCTGCACAGTTTTCTAAGCAGATTTTAGCTAAGAGAAAAGAGCAGCAAAACTTTACCACCTCTATAAGCTGGACATACATGGCAGCCTGAAGGATTTCATGAACAGTGTTCATACTCAGTTCAATAGTTCCATAGTACATGAATTGGAGGACATGACTGAAGCCTGTAGCTGTCAGACCTTTCAAATGGATTTTGTCCTGATCTCGTTCTCGCATGTCTGCTGTGAACATAATCCTGAAGTAATCACTCTGGGTGGCAAGCAGTGCTTTATGGGCCTGAAATTGGTGGTCTTCAATGACAAGTGTGACATCAAGAAGCAATCCCTCCTCATACAGTGCTCTGAATCCTGCAGAGACACTGGTGTCATGGATGGAGGAGCTAAACCCTTCCACGTCCCCTGCCATGAATCACCTGGGGGGAAGAAAGAAAATAAATAAAAATAAAAATAAATCATAATTTCTAATAACATATTACAAGCCTTTCCTGACTAAATAAATCCCAACTGAGATTGCTTTGATTAGAATTTAAGTCTTCACCATTCTTTCTGTTCTGTCTCCAGTTGAAAAATCAACTGAGGAAATAACTTAAAACACAAACTTGAAATACTTCTCCCCAAACCAAATATTCTCATTTTAAAAACAGGGTAATGGAACAAAAATAACTGTGCAACACTACCAAAATGATCCCTTACTCCAAGTTAATTCATGTCATATAATGAACTAAAAAGGTTGTCATGGTTTTTTTCCTCTCCCCCCCGTCAATCCTTCTGAAGAATTTATCTCAGGGGAGCAATAAAACACCCACTCTTGGATATCAAAGGTCTCAAAGAAAGGAAGCCAAACTTCCTGAACTTCAGAAACAAGCTTCAGTAGATCTGTACATTATATGATCTAAAAAAAAAAAGTTATTATGTTTTAAAATCTATGTCAATTTAAAATCTATGTCAAAGGTTATTTGTAGGAAAATGAACATTTTCACAGATACTATTTGAGATTGTATGCTTTATTTCTCCTGTAAAAACACAGTCCCATCATGTTCCCCCTCATTTCTTACTATAGCGATTAAGTTATGAGATCTATGAAGTGCAAAATACTTAAGGCAACAAGAAGCACTGACAATAATAGGTCACAAAAAATATTCTGTATAGTGGGCTTAGTGAAGCTTAATTGCTCATTAAGCATTTGCAAATATAGTGTTACTTATATGCAAGCTATAATTAACCTGCAAATTAAAAAAAAAAATAATCTAAGAGTAGAAGGATCCTACCCTGTTAAAGTCAATTCAATAATCAAAATAAAAACCTATTCAAAATCCAGAAATTTCTCAAAATGTTGCTCAGCTTCCTTGGGTTTCAGTAGGGTGAAGTTGCCCAACACAGCTTGAACCAGTCAACAATTCCTCAAAGGACCACAGCACACTGCACTTTCCCTCCTCTGTCACATTCCAGGACCTGAGCTCCTGCTGCCTACTTTGAGCCATTTCTGGGGTTCATTCGGCTTCTCCAGAAAGTCAATTCAACTCATAACCATGACTAAAAAATAAATTAAGATCATGGAGGGACAGACGTGAAAAAGACACACAACATAAACATGACCACCCTGACTCCCCAGCACACACAAAACCTCAAAACCAGGAATCTTTCTGCTTAACAGTCAGCTGACTTCTGACTTGACACTGTGGGGTTTGGCACAAGAACCAACCTGATGCAGAGGGCAGGACATATACTTGTGCAGGAAGAGAGACAAAGAGCAACAACTTCCCTATTTGGCATTCACTTACTATTAGAATTGCATCAGCTACTTTTGTTCCACTTCATCCCACCTTAAATTACACTTCAACCTTCCCTCAGATATTTGTTACATTTAACTCTGAATTTTTTATAATAAATAAAGCTAATAATGTTTTGGTACTAATCTAAATAATACCAACACATTAGAAAACCTGTACATCCTCAAGGTCATAAAATTTCACATAAGTACATGGACCCAGAAGTGACTCTAGGCTGGCCTATATTTCACAGCATCAGAGAGCAGTTACCACTTACCCCCACTTCTTCAAGCACCACATTCTGGCTGCTGCCATTGTAACAGGAATGCATTTTATTAGACTCATCAATGCTTAATCATCTCCTCTCCTTCACTCCTCAGCACACATCCTGGAAAACCAACTGGACATACCCTTTGTGCAAAACTAAACTGGTGAATGGGTGTAGCCACACCTCGTGGGATTAGCACCACTCCCACACTGCTGAAGCCTGATGACAGGCTCTGTGCATGATAAAGCCAATGCTGGGAGTGCTCCTTACAATTAAGGCTTTCTCACAGAATTCAAATTCCTGAAAGTAAGAGCAGGAGCAAAGAACCAAGATGACAGTCCAATCACTTTCTCACCAGTATCCAATGCAGCACCTTCCCTTCAGTGTCACTGAAGACAAAGAGAAACATGCAAACTGCTCTGGAACCTCCCTTTGTGAGTCTCTTACTCCTCAACATCAAATGACTACCAGAAAGAAAAATTACCATCAGGTAATTTTCTTAGCTGTTGCCAGCTCTTACACAAAAGCAGATGAGGAAAGAACCACTTCACTAATTCTTATTACCTCAAAAAGAAGCACCCAACTGAAGAGGAAGCATAAGGTCTGACGTCACAGGATTTTGTTTTCTAACTGGATTTCTGGTATCAAATAAAAAGGTAAGGACCAGTATTAGCTTACTTCCTTTTTTCATCAGAGCACTGGAATTCCTTTCCTCCCATCCCCTGTTCTCTGATATTTAATAATAGCTGAACTCATACCTTAGTCCTTCCTGTTCAAACTATTTAATGATCACTTGCCTTTAAATGGGCCACTCATTTTCATAGAACATACAGCGACTTAACTCACTGCTGTCTGGAATCAGCCAAGAGACTCAGTGTTACAAGGACTCTCAGACAGTACTACTGTGTAAATTACAGAGCTTTAGGAGACCAACTAAGACTTGGCTCAGCATCAGTTCCATGATCAGGGTTAAAAATAGGAAAGGACAGTTGGAATTTGAAAATGTGAAAGTGAGAACAGAATAACACAACAATGTATCAGGGGAGAAAAAGTAAAAAATTAAGCAACATTCCCCAACTGACAGAAGCAATTATATATTCATCTGGAAATAGTGGGATCTCCCATCACACAGGTAATACTACTGAAGGGAGTTCTTCAAAAGATTATGTGCATTACTGTGTACCTAACAGCACTGAAAAACCACAGCAGCAAGCTCCAAACACACAGCAGGATCCTTGCCCTTACCTTGACAAAGGTAATTACATTATGGGTACTCCTCAAATAAAAGGAGAAAAATTAACTTGTACACAAGATGGCCCTAAAAGAAAGGCCTCTTTTACTACCCTCGAAGAAGCAGAAAGGAAAAGCTGGAAGTGAAGTGGAGACATGGTATATGCACCTCCAGTATTGCTTTTAAGGAGGAAAACAAGTAAATAATACTCAACACAATCAAACAAAAACTCCAAATGCAAAACAAACACAACACAACACAAAAAACCCTCAACCAAACCATCACCAAAGAGTCCTGGGCAACTGGCTCTAGGTGGCCCTGCAGGTGGCACAGATGACCTTCAGAGGTCCTTTATAACCTCAACTCGTCTGTGAATCTGTGATTGTGTTGCTGTTGCACAGACACTGCAACCATGTAGGGGTTTTTTTGCAACCTTCTTTTTAATTCTGATTAAATAGAAATAAGACAAATATACAAACACCAAAAAATAAATATATATTATTATCCTTTGAATTTTAAATCTGACAAGGCAGCAATCACCGAAATACTGAGAAATGAAACCTACCTGTATTTAGGTACCCTTTAGAGTTCCAATTTTTACATCTCCTTACAACTAGCTATTCCATAAAAAATATTTAAACCACCAAGTCAGCCACAAATCTCCGTAACAGTACGAAAGGAGTCAACACTTTGAAATTATTATTTCTGAATGTTTTAAAAATGTAGGTGTTTAAATCACTTAATCCTTCTTTTCACATTCCTGCTGACATTACTTTTAGTAAATCGACAGTTTTCAACATTAACGTATTTTTCCTCCTGAACAGCAGTGAGCATTTAATGGATTACTTAGACACAAAACCAGTAAGACTTCTCCCTACACCATCTAAAGAAGCTTCAGAATTCCATGAGTGAAAAGCAAAAGGACTACTTGTCTTCCTGCATTAAATAAAAGGAGTAAATATCCTTTTCTTGGCATAAAGCCATGTACATTATCAGCAGATAAGTTTTTCTTTAAAACAAAAAAATGTATTGCCAGTACAAATAAACAAAGGGGTTAAAATAGTACAAAAACTGTGAAAGTAGATAATTAAATGCGTATTATGCTTAACTGGCAAAAATCTTCATTTCTAAAGCTAACATCCTCCGTCAAAAGCAAATAGCAATGTGGTAGTTCAAACATTAAAAAAAGCAATACAAAATAACTCTCAAACCAAGTAATTTTTCTAAAGCATAGCTATGCCATTCCTCCCACACACATACTTGCAATCTTTGATGTAATTCTAAGCACTATTCAAATGCTGCAGTTATTTCCCAGAGGACAATACATAACATTTTTTTCCATATTTTCAATAAAAATGGAAAATTCAGTTCGATCTTCTTCATGCATGCAAATCACAGCTGCACACTTAATCCAATGGAAGACATGAAGCCTGCAGTGGTCTACAGGAAAACTGGAACAAAAAAAATCCAATGTATAAACAATGAAGGGGAGGTGGGGGGCAATGTACATTGACATTCGTTACTGTTCTGCACGTATTAGAGCTGATCAGGATAATGCAGCACAGGAAGACTCTGCTGAAAAGCCAAAAGAGAAATACATTTAACCTTATTAGCTGCTCCTTACATTTTTTCCTCTTTAAGCACATAATGCATTAGATTCTACAGTGCTCTAACTGTAAAACCACTTACTTGGAACACTGATTTCTCATTTTTATTCTGCAGCTGTAATGAAAGTCTGAAAATCCTACTCTAGACTGCTTTTTCTTGCTAAACAAGGAGAACCTTCTTTCCTCAGGGTGTCTGAGGCTCTTAGTCACAAGCAGAAGAAATGGAGTCTAAATGCACTGGTTATTGAGAAACAAGTCACAGAATAAATGCTTTTGACTCAAGCCCTCCTGGATTTAAAATCTCTCCAAGACCAGTACTACCTGAAAAAGAGCCTTTTCAATATGTGTCTTTATGTCATATGTAAGCTTATATGCATTTTCTAGGGATAGAAATTTATTGTCCTAGGAAAGTATTGACAATACCAGGTCTACCACACGATCTCAAAGCGAAATTTCAGACTTCCTTTACTGTTGTTCCTTAGTAATTTATCTGGGATGCTGAGATAGAATGAGCAAGATTTGTTTTGTTTACTAATTATGGAGTACTTGTTCATTTTACCTATCCCATAGATATTCTAAGAAATCATCTTTGTGGACAAGCTGAACAACAAATTTTCACATAATAAAACACTATTATCTATGAGTTACACTATAAAGATATTTCAACAGACACACAGAACCATGCTTTGGTTACACAATGTACTAAAATAGAGCTTTAAACAAAATAATCTCTTCCATCCACCAAATGCATGCATTTAAACGTAATTTTTAAAGCCATCATGCACACTTTATTTGATCAGGTGCAAAGCAAAGGCTGCCTAGAGCAGAATATTTTGAGCCTAGTTTTGTTAATAAGGACATTTCTCCATAGTCAAATGTTATACACACATATGAAAATACAAGTATTTGAACACACTAGCACACATTCACAACTGCACATATGGCCAAAGGCTGGGCCTTTGAATGCAATGTACTGAGTAACAGTACAATTATAACATACACAGCATAAATAATTTATCCCCCAAATTAAACCTTTGTTTACATGGTTTAAAACTAAAACCATTAAATTTTGTCAATTTTTTATCATAATCCTCCACTAACAGCAACAGAAGGAGTGATATCATGTGGGATAGATCAATAACCAGTGGCTATCAAAACTTTCTATTGCTACAACAATTGCAACGTAGGGAACAAAGAAATACATCCACTTTCCATGTGTTTTATCTGAAATCCTTTGTAATTAGGACACTAAATTTGGGAAACCATTTATCTTCAACCCATTCTTATGTTCATGTTTAAGACTTCATCCAATCCATCTTGAGAATTTCAAAAGCACTGGATTACTTGAGAATGGAGAAGTTAGGAGCTTACCAATCACCACCAGTCAGAGGAACCAGACTGCCAGAACTTAAAATTTGGCTAATCCTGAAAGCTGCCCAGACTCCATTTCTTAGGGACACAGAGCTGACCAGAACAGCTCCCCCGACAATCTCTGCTCCTGTTGCTATCTGGGAACAATCTGAACTAGCACAGAGCAGCAGCGGCACTTGGTGTCATTATGGTCATTACAGCCATGTCAAAAATACCAGAACCAGTTACAACCAAACCTGCTAAAACTCAGCATGGATTGTGCCTCAGCTCAGCATGGTTACTCTTCACTCTACATGTGCCAGAACCTGTAACTGCACTTCACAGACACTAAGATGGCTTGAACCACCTGTCTAAGAAGTCACTGCATCCCAACGCGTGCACAGAAAAACCTGCTCCCAAACACAGAGCAAGCTCAGCTCAACGCTCTGCCAGAACAGGTGCACTGTATAAAACAGTTGATATATCCACCAAAATGAGAATTACCTTTTAAGTGGAAATACTTGTATTTAACTTTTAGATATTACTAAAAGTTAAATTATAGTAGTGTTGAAAAGTACAGATTTGCCATTGCTCTCAAAGTGGACAGGACTGCTCTATCCTGAATGACAGCAGTCCTTCTTACATATATATACACATACATATATATATATCTGTCTTATAGAATGAGTAACGATTTCGAATGTAAGAAAAAGGTATGAATAAAGGCTGATTCTGTCACTGTGAAGATTTTTATTAAGAAAATTGTAGTGTATTTTATACAGAAAAGTAGCAAGCTAAGTATCTGTTAGTAACAAAAAATCCTATCTTTTCTGACTTATCATAAATTTTTAGCGTAATAAGATAGAAAGGAGTAAGAAGTAGTATTCAAACTATGTTAGTAAAAATATTTTAAATTTAAATTAGGATTGCTAAACTATGCCCTCCATTTGTCTTTTTGTTATATGTATCTTTATTGCTAATTTAGTATGTACTCCTAGCATCTTCTGAGAAAATGACATTAATTGTGCCCTTTGTTCAAGACACACAGGTTTTGACCTTACTACCAAATACCAAACTCACTTGTCAGAAACACAGAAATCTCAAACCTATTTTATTTCTACACATATCCCCCAGACTGGCAGCTAGATGAATGAAAAAGGTCTGATATCTCTAGTGTGAGCTCAATGGTTATCTGCTGTGCTCTGCTCACTGAAAGGCAAATCAACACATGTGTAGATCCAAACCAGCCACAGGGTATAATTAAGGAAAGTGAAAGGAGATGAGTGTCAGTGGAAAGTTTATAGGACATGTGGTAGAAATTAAACACGTTTTCTAGGTGATGGAAGGGAAAACACAGGAAGTATGTGTTGTGCATGGTGGTATTCTCAGGAGATCTGAATGTGAACTGGGGCAATGGTGGTGCAAGAGCTGGGTTATTCTACAGACAAGTTTATATAACAAGTCCACAGGAAGCCAGACTTCAGTAGTTCTGTCCTTTTATCTAGTAATAACTTTATAATTCTCCTATTTATTTTCTAAATTAGAATAGAAAAACCCAAACCCCAAACAATGAAAAGGCAAGGAGTTCAAATTTTTAAGTGACATTCCAGTATTCACCAAACACATCAAAGCTCTAGTATCATCTGGGTAGCTCTACCCGTTCAGATCACGGATACTTTTGCCGCGATCAGGTACGATGGGGGAGGGGGGCGGGTAAAAATGGCCATTTTCGGGGCAGGAACTCAGATGACCTACTTCAGCCTGCCGGCTCGCACGCTCGCAGGCTGAGCTCCCCGGCGAGCGGGGCTGGCGGGCCGGCTCCGCGACGTGCGGCCGCGGGAGCCCGAGGGGCCCGGCGGGGCTGCGGCCGCCCCGCACCGCCCGGCGCGGCCGTGCCCGATCCCGCGCCAGCCCGCCTGCTCCCCGCCCGCCGCCCCGGGGAGGAGAGACCCCGAGGGCCCGGAGGGCGCCCGGGCCGCCCTCGATGGGGCGAGCGACGGCGGCGGGAGGGCCCGCGGGATCCTTCACCCACCTCTCGGCGGCGGCGGCGCTGAGGACGCGGCTCCTCCCGCTGGAGCGGCGGAGAGGGGCCCTGGCTCCGTGTACCATACAGCCGGGGGCGGCGGAGGGAGGCGCCGGGGGGCTGCGGAGAGGGGCAATGGCTGAGGCGAAGCCGGGAGGAGGAGGAGAAGGAGGCGGAGGAAGAAGGGGGGATCCTGGGCTCCCTCCTCCCCGCCGTCCGCGCTCGGGGGGGGAGGTGGGAGCCGCCCCCGCCGCGCCGCCCGGGCACCGGCGCGCCCGGCCCGGCTTCGGCCCCGGGGTCCCCGCCGCCCTCACGCTTGTTTACCTTCCGCGCTGCCCCGCGCGGCCGCGGGCGCCATGTTCCCCCGGCAGCACCGCGCCGGCCGTCACTTCCGCCGCACCTGCGGCCGCGCGGGCGGGCCCGGGGCGAGGAACGGCTCCGGCACCCCGGCACCGGCACCCCGGCACCGGCACCCCGGCTCCGGCACCCCGGCTCCGGCACCGGCACCCCGGCACCGGCACCCCGGCACCGGCACCCCGGCACCGGCACCAGCACCGGCACCCCGGCTCCGGCCCGTGCGGGCTCGGCCAGGCGCCGGAGCCCCGGCACGTCCCGGGGAGCACGGCTGGAGAACGCGACACCGAGAGGCATCATCTGCGTCCGGCCCGCGAGGACGCGCATCCACAGCGTCCGCTTTCAGAGGGTCGGTCTTGCGCTGCTCTCGCCCGCCCCGCTGCCTCCAGGCTGCGGCCGAGCTCTCCGAGGCGATGGCAGCTCCCAGGTTGCTATGGCAGCTGCCCGCTGCAGCGCTGCATCCCGCCCCGGGTACAGCAATCGCCGCTCGGGGCCGGCTGCCGGCTGCGCTCCTCCCCGGACAGCGGCCAGCCGCTCCCGCGGGCTGATGCCAGCTCTCCGCTCCCGCAGGCGGCTTTGCCAGCCGCCGTGGGAACCGGGTCACCAGAGCCGCAGGGGTCAGGGCCGGCAGCGCTGGAGCAGCGAACAAACTGCACACAGGAAGCACGGCCCCGAGGGGGTGAGCAGGGCTCTGCCTTAGTACAAACAGTACTCCTCAGCTTTCGCTATTTTGCCTTTGCCTGGCAAACTCAGATTTCATTGTACGAGATGAACTAACCTACGTGGACCTTTGGTTTGCCACTACCACCCCCAAACCATATAAATAGCAGGCCACAGGCTGGCATCCTCTCCCTGTTTACTGCTGTTCCCATCCTATTTTCAGTCTCTCATTATCACCCCCCCCCCATTCTTGATTTATAAAACAAGAGTACCTTCTCTATACCTGCTACCCCCAAGCTGAATGCCTTTCCCACCTTTCACAGCTTCAAAAAATGAATCAGCTACTCCATGTGGTGCCTTACAAAAGACTTCCCAATGCTATTCCCACTCCCCTCAACTGCCTACCTACTGCTCCCTCTGCTACGATCAAGTTCCCATTCACTCCTTCATCACAATGGCCAGACCTCTCTCGGCTTTGCCTTACTACTCCGTCTCATTCACTCATGCAGTAAATTTACCCAATCTCCCCAGTCACTGTTTTAAAACCTGTTACTTGTGTGTTTATGGTGAAAAAACTGGCCTTTACAGACTGACCCTGCCAAGACAGCAGGTGTTCCTGCCACCTATGTCTCCAAGACATTCCCTCCCTTTTCCATAATGGATATCTGCTGCAGCAAACATGTACCCACCCATATCTAATGCTTCAACAAAGAAAAATGAGTAGGAACTAAGTTTCTCATATACAGAAATGATACAACCAAAACTTCATGCATACTTCTGCACCCCTCAGACTTTTCACCTTCATGGGTCAGCAAGGGCAGAAAAAGCTAAGCAAGACTTTTATGTTTTACCTGACTGTCATTTTGCTGTCTGCAGTTTGTGTCAAGCTGAGGTGCAAGATGGTCTTCAGGTCTCTCCTACACACTTGTCACAGAATCACAGAAGAGGACCTCAAACCTAGCCACAAAACAAAACCATAGCAGCTTTGACATTTAAAACAGCTCAACATTTCAAAGCACAAAAAAACCCTCTCATACCCTTCTCCTTCACATTGAACAATTTGCTTCTACCAAAAAATCAAATATGTTAATAATGTCTCAATTCTAGTCTCCTAAAAAAATTAAATAATTACATTTAGGCCTCTGACAATGACCACTAGTCTCAAAATTACCTTACTGAATATTAATTTGAGATTTGGGTTGACCCCTCTGATTTAGGCATTTGTACAAAGTCAGTGGCTAAACAGTTACCACTAGCTTAAATAAGACTATTGCGATGAAGAGAATTCTGGATGTAGTTTTTTTGAGCTATATTAATATGCTACTTAGGATCTAATTCTAATATTTTTAAACTTTATTTAATTAATACATAAATGTCCAATACACATATATTGACATATGACATAATGTCAACTCCTAGAAATGTTCTTACCTATTTTAGTTGGGGTTGTTCAGCCTGGAGAAGAGAAAGCTCTGAGTAAACCTTATAGAAGCATTCAGTGCTTAAAGGGGGCCCAAAAGGCTAGAAAATGGACTTTTCACAAGGGCATGGAGTAACAGAACAAGGCAGAATGGCTTTAAACTGAAAGAGGGCAGATTTAGATTAGGTGCTAGGAAGAAACTCTTTACTGTGAGGGTGAAGCACTGGCACAGGTTACTCAGAGAAGCTGTGGTTGCCCCATCCCTGGAAGTGTTCAAGGCCAGGCTGGACGGGGCTCTGAGCAGCCTGGGATAGTGAAAGACGTTTCTGCCCATGGCAGGAAGATTTGAACTCGATGATCTTTGAGGTCCCTTACAACATAAACCATTCTAGGATCCTACAATAATTAGACATTTACAGACTTTAGACTTTTCTGCTTTTCTTTATATTACAAACATTTCCAAATAAGTGAATCAAAATAGCAAGAGAACCTCAGAATATGTAAAATGTACAATCTCAATGTTAAAATAGAAGCAACAGTTTGCGTAGTTTTTTTCATATTCCTGACAGGGTGTTTGACAAGGATTGAGTCCTTTTTAAAGGCTGTTTCAAATGTGACAAAAACTATTTCCATAATTTTACACACACTGCACTGCATTTATTGCATAATTTAAGCAGCTAAGTAACTACAGAGTCCAGCACTTTCAGTTCATTTTCATAAAAGAGGGATTATACATGTGTGAACATCGAGGCAACTACAACCAAGTATTGCATCATGTTCTCACTACACCTCATGTATTTCAGTGGTTTTTCCCAGAAGTGAGATATTTAATACAAAATTGAAAACACCGTGTGGCCTGAAACAAGATTATGAAAATTTATTTTCCAGACCATTGTCCAACACGACTGGGTTGCAAGACAAAATACATTTTGTCATTGGCAATACCATCATAGATACTGAAAGGTTTCTTACAATGTGCTCCTGTTAATTTCTTCAGATCAAGAACACTGTGGCAATGTGTTTGCTCTACAAATACCCATCAGAACTCACTCCTAGATCTTGTATCAGGAAAGTATGGAAATAATATCATAGGTGAAAGTGGGAGGTTACAACCATTGTTCAACCAGGCATACCAGTTTCACACGGATTTCCATCATCACATTTCAGTCACATGGTTGCCTGCCCCAAACCTGCTTTTTTTGACCTGCAAAGCCAGGCAGAGTCTGAGAACAAATGTGTATTCCAACAGATAAAGCTGCTGTTGTTGGCACAACGCACACATATTTGAGATAACTGGTTACCTGCATTGAAACCTGCTTCCCTGACCAGGGAGGAAATACTATCAGCAACATCTTCTATGCCTTTAAGAGGTTCCCATGAAGAACAGGGAAATTTAACCTTTACTCTCTGGTGAACCTCTAAACTGGCTCTCATCACTGGATTAGGGATTTTATTCAATTTATGTCATACCCAACTCTGCAAGTGTTTGGTGGGATTTTTACCTGTTTCGTACAAAACATTTAGGTATGTTGGGGCAACTCTCACATCCACATGCCTTCCCTAACAATAAGCGCCCAGTCTACAAAGACAGTAACAAGAAAAAAGCTAAAATAAGAAAGATCTCCTCACGGCGATGGCCAGCAGAGGTTCTGACACACGTGCGGTGACCTGTTACTGTTGAAGCAGGCACCGCGGTCGATGCGCTCATTTCAGTGCATACACAGATATCGTGCCTTCTGCACCGCACCCCCGGGCACCCCAAATAAATCCGCACAGCAACAAACCCCGAGCACGGCAGGGGCTCCTGCCTTCGGTGTGTCTTTCAGCGAGCCCTCCCCGCAGGCACGGCGCTGTTTCGCTCCGCTCCGGCGGGGTTTGCGCGGCGCCCGTCCCGCCGCGCTCCCGCCGCCGCGCCGTGCCCGCGCTCCCGCGCCGTGCGCGCGCACGCTGCGAGGCCCCGCCGCAGGCCCCGGTTGCATCATCCGGCGTGAGGGCGACCGTGCTGGGGGGTCCTTTACAGGGCTGCCCGTTGGTGCGCCTGACTCGTGGCCGCTCCGCTGCAGGGCAGATGGCGGCCCCCCGGCGCTGATCGCGGCTTTTCCTTGAGCTCGGTGTCCGCTCCCGGGCCGGCCGGTGCCGCGCTGTGGGCCGGAGGTTGCGGGCCGGCAGCGGCTGTGCCGAGAGGAGCCGGCAGTCAGGCGGCCGCGTGGGCTCCTCACTTCCTACTCGGGGCAAGATGGCGGGGGACGAGGCGGGAGTGACTCTGGGGCAGCCGCACCTCAGCCGGCAGGATCTCGGCACCTTGGTGAGCGCCGCCCGCGGGGCGCCCAGCAGCGAGATCGGGCTCCCGGAGCTCGGCGGGGGCGCCCCGGGAGCGGAGGGGGCGGGCGTGTGGGCGAGGGGTGCGGCCCCAGGAGCTGGGAGCCTTCTGCCGGGCCCCACCGCTGCCGATGCGTGCCGAGGGGGCGCGGGAGGCGGCGGCGCCCGGGGAGCCGAGCTCAGCACGCTGGGCAGCAGGGGCCGCGGCGAGGGCAGGGGGACGCGGGCCGAGGGCAGGGGGACGCGGGTCGAGGGCAGGGGGACGCGGGTCGAGGGCAGAGCGGCGGCCGAGGGCAGGGGCCGCGGGTCGAGGGCAGAGCGGCGGCGCGCAGAGCAGGTCCCGCCGGTCCTGGCGGGTGTGGGGCGCCCGGGCGAGGTGCTTCTCCTCCCGGTGAGCATAAGGCTCCGCGGCTCCGTGTCCCGCCGGCGCCCCTGAAGCTTTTAGGGCTCACTGGTGGGTGCAGTTTTCCTCGAGTAAGAGTTGCCCTGTTCTGTCGTATTAAAGATTTTTCCCTTTCCGAGATAGAACCATAAATTTGAGCCGTTTCTCTACAGCAAGTTCTAGGAGTTGTCTATCAGCCCTGTCTTGGTTTGCCAAGACAACTTTCTTGACTATTAAAAACTGCCGAGAAATACCAGATCTACCTACCACTGCAGCTACCACTTCAACCAGTTGCAGTGGTCACCTGCTGTGGCAGCCTTGCCTGTTAAATGTCTCACCTGAGCTGCCTCACCTATTACACTTATATGCTAGTCTAAATGTATATGTAATGTATATTTCTAATTCAAGTGTATTGTAATGTACATAGTCAAAAATCCTGTTGCTGTGTCTCCTGTGTTTAAACTGGAACAACTTATTTGTCTTAACAGTAATAATATTTTATGTTCTTTGGGCTTGAGCACAGGAATTCCCTACGGCAGTGTGTTAGTTATTTCAGATGGTTTCTTTTCTTCCTGTCATTGTTGACCATGGCATTTCCTAGTTGGGAAAGGCACAGATAGAGACTAGCTGGAAGGTCAGCAGGAATTACCTTTAAAGGCTTATTCTGGCGGCCCTTGAGTGCTTACGGCTGAGTGAAGCTTCTTGCTGAGCAATACCCTTATACCAGTCTTGAGGAAAAAACTGCACGCGTGCACGATTTCATGCACCAGGAAGAATTCTCCTGGTGGCAGGAATTGCATCACGCTGAAATTCTGGTCGCCCGGCTACATGGTGCCATCTGCAGGTCACGTTCCCATCGCTGGGAAGTCATTTTAAGTTCCATATATGAGAAATATAAATTTAGTTGTGTGTCTTAGATGTTCAAAACTTGCTTTGTATTGAAGATGAACATTTTATTAATGTCATACTTGAGAGCAGAATGACTGAGCTTACGTTTTTACACAGATGTGTTTGATCATTTTGCACAGAACTTTCATGTAACAGTGTAAACAGTATGTGATTTAATGTTTGTCTTATTTGTATCTTAAATTTTGTCCTGCACTGAGGACTCTTCTGACATCATGTCTCTGCTTGAACTGAGTAGCTCATCCATGTGAATTCAATGCAGGATGGATATTAGCTTTACAGGAGAACATTTCAGTGGATTTCAGCACTTGTCCATTATTTGGACAAACAGCTTTGAAAAAACCTAAGCAACTCTTTCAGAGTTGTTTCTTTATCTATACAGAGTTTATTTGTGAGGTTTTTGTTTTGCCGGTGGCTACCAATAAGTTCACACAACAGACTACTTAGGACAGCAGAATTTTTGTCTGGTACCTAAAGCAGCAATAACAGTACCCGAGGGAAAAAATAACCATTAAAAAGAAAAAAAAGCCATGGTGCTAATGAAACCTCTGGACCCACTGACTCCTAGTTGTAATTATGGATTGGCTTAATGGAACCAATTAAACAACTGTTTATTGACAAAGCTTTGTTTATAAAATATTAGTGCAGTTCATCATGTAGACTGTTGAAAATGAATTTGCCTGTTATGTGTAATTTAGGTTCAGGGGTATGTAGGGGATTGAGGTCTTTTGTTAAAATTTTCTTTTGAGGTTTCTTGTTTTGTTTACTCCCATCTTTAACACTTTGCAGACAAGACTGTTTCACAGTCAGGATTTTGAATTGTAGCCTGTATTGATTCACAAGCAAGACTTGGATCACTTTTCACATGGATTTCACACTTTTAAAAGACTGGAATGCACATAGTATAACTGGATTTTGCTGAATAGAACTATCAGTTGACCTTCAAGTTTCTAAATTTTTAACTTGCTAAACATTTATATACAAGATGAATAAATTTAAAAATCTCCCTTATACAGGATGTTACCAAGTTGACGCCACTTTCACCAGAAGTCATCAGCAGACAAGCAACAATTAATATAGGTAAAAAAAAACCTTATGAAAAAGAGGGGCGTGTTAAGGTGTCTCTTTTTAATGCTGGTGCAGTAGCAGATGGTGCCTGTGTGGTAATACTTTCAAGAAATATGTACAGAAACAAAACATAGTAGCTTTAGGGACTTGTCAAGCGCTTTTGATTTATAAAGCACCAGTTTTATTTTAGGAGCACAGTTGAATGGTATGGGGAATAGTTGCTAAAGCAAAATTTATTTTACCTTGAAATAAAGGATTGAAATGACTTTCATTCAAATGCAAAGATCTGTCCATTGGGAGCACAATTTCAGGTCTTGTTTGTTTCAATAAAAATTATTACAAATTATATATGTATGCCATATGAACTTACTGCCTGTGAAGAATTTGGGGTAATTTTGTACTGATTGTAGTGGAGCTTTGCACAGAATTAAACTGTGGTTTATTGACAAACATTTCCTTTTAAAACACAGGTACAATTGGTCATGTAGCCCATGGAAAGTCAACAGTAGTCAAAGCTATATCTGGAGTTCATACTGTCAGATTTAAAAATGAACTGGAAAGAAATATCACAATCAAGCTGGGTTATGCTAATGCAAAGGTGAGTCATCACTGTAAATATAGCAGCTATGTTGCTAATATATTTCAGGGGAGATGAAAGATTACAGGTAACTAACCCTTGAGGAATTAAACCTTTTTTCAACTTTAAATAATCACAGATTTACAAGCTGGATGACCCAAGCTGCTCTCGACCAGAGTGCTACCGATCCTGTGGAAGTAGCACCCCAGATGAGTTCCCTACAGATATTCCTGGCACCAAAGGGAACTTTAAACTAGTCAGGTAACTGCTTTAAATTGCTGGAATAAATTGTATTTACTTCCCTGTGTATGGAAACAGGATTGAGCTGTGAGCTGAATGGATTCTGGTAGACTGCACATTCTTAGATCTGGCACCCCTGGGCTAAGGCATTGTCTAAACTGAATTCATTGGTGGTGATGAGCATTTCATGGTTGAGCCCAGCTGTGTCTGCTGGCCTCAGCTACTTGCGGAACATTGAAGTTAAATTTCTGCTATTAATATAAGTACATTTTAAACCAGCCAGATTGAGAACTAATGTGGAACTCACAAACGCATCTTTAAAATTCTTTCTGGAAGGGTGACCTTTGTTGAACTTTTTCTTCCTGAGGGCAGAGTTTCCAAAGTTTTTTAAATTAATATATAAAAGCCTGATGCTTAATGTGAGATCAGGCCTCTCACTGGAGGCCAAGTGTTCTTTACTCAATTTCTGATAAAGTATAGCACGGTCTATATGCAGTGGTTATATGGGTCTGCACAATGATTGTTCAAACAAGAGTAGTCATTAAGACTGTTGTACAAGATTCTTAGTTTGTGTTTATGTAAAATACATGTGGGCTGTGACCATGTGTCTTTCCTTTTCTCAGATTCCCAGTAGAGCACTTGTACTAAGATTAACTTCTTTTGGAGTGTGTCAGGCAGGCAGCCATTGTGAAACAACTGGTTAAAAACTTTGCATTCTTTATCCTACAGGTTTTTTGCTTGTAGATTTCTAACATCATCAGCAAAGCACAAAATTAGGCCCTTGCTTTTTGGTGGCCTGCCACTAAGAACAAGGATTCTTCTCTAGATAGGTTCAGGAAAGAAAATAGTGAATCAAGTATCTTGGTCTGCACAGTAAAACCATAAGTTTGGAAATGTAACATCATGCCTGTAGACAAATCTTTGAAGTGCAGTTATAACCATATATTTAAAGATGCATCATTTCCTAAGATTGAAGAATGGGAGGTGCCTTTTAAAAGAGATAAGAGAAATCCCATGTGGTGTATTGGAGTTTGGGTCAGTGGTGGTGGGTTGGTTTGATTTTGGGCTTTTAACCTGGTGCATTTAACTCTAATCTAATTTAGAGTAAATTCTTGAAATATTAAAGAGGTACTTAATGTGGACATGTGGTATTAAATCTGAAAACTCAGAAAAAGCATTTGGTAGCTGTTCAGTAGCGTTTGTGTTCTTTTAGAACTTTTTTAAAATACTATTTTAAGGATACTTTTAACTTCTGTATCTGGCTAATCACTGACATAAATCAGTCAGAGGAATTGTTGATAATGGGCTTTTGGATTTCTCTTTCACCTTTTCCTGCAACAGGCATGTCTCTTTTGTGGATTGCCCTGGCCACGATATTTTGATGGCTACCATGTTGAACGGTGCAGCAGTAATGGATGCAGCTTTGCTGTTGATAGGTAACAATTGCTACCCAAAAGCAGAACTCTATTTTGTAGTAGCACGAAGCATTATGTGGGCTTTAAAATCTCCTGGGATGTGGTGAGCAGTTTAAACATGTGAATGTTTTTGAGATGTGTGAAAGAAAATAAAGTGCTGCTACAATGGTGATGTACTCTAACAAGCTGGCTTGTTTTAAACACAGCTATCTATACTCACCAGTCTGGTAGCTGGCCCCATTGACAGAAGATAGGTAATAAAAAACTCGGTAGTAGTATAGCACTGTAAAATTTTTATCACTTTATGGGAACATATTAGCTGCATTTTGAGTTTCTCTGAAGGTTCAGTTTCCTTTAAATGTGCATGCAGTCTTTGCTATACAGTAGAGTTCACAAACAACAGTACAAACAATAACCCAGATAAATATAGGCAAAATTTAAGTACAGGAGATTTAATGTAATCCAGACAACTTTTGTTCAGATTTGCAAGCGACAGAAAGTGAGTAAAACTGATTTTTCTGTCTGTAGAACATTTTAGTGTTCTGTAGTGATACATAGCAATTATCTTACCTTGATAGGATATGTCAACAAAAGGAAAATACAGCTTCAGATATTGTAATTTAAAGTCTGAGATAGATGATGAGCTATCCTTTCTTCTGCCTGTTTATCTCTAGAAAGTGTGATAGACCAAACTTCAGGCAAGATTAACCACCATAATCATACATCAGCCAATGCTGGGTTCTTAGCTGAAATCTAAACCATGCTGATAGCAGCCCTATTCACATACTTGATAGTTTGGGGATCTTGGTATTTTTATGACTTTACTGATAAAAAAATATGAAGATATTTCTTGAAAAGTAATTCGTGTATTACACTACAGTTAACACTGAGATACCTGAAGAGCTAAAGGATGGTGTAAGCCAAGTTAGGTGTTGGTATCTTTGGATATTTTAGGTGAGTGATCCTAGTAGGAGCAGGTGAAACGGGGGAACCTCTCTGGCATCTTATTATCTGTCCTGCATTGTGTGGAGGCTAGAGCCAGCAGTGCTAGGAGAAGAGGTGCTTATTGACTTGGTTGCTTCACATGTAGATTACTGAAAGACAATTGTCTTTTTTTTTTTTTTTTTTAACATAGTGATAGTAGGTGGAAGTAGATATCCTAACTGTAGGAGTTTTGACTGTCTTTATAGTTTCTATATTCCAGTCACTTCTCTTCTTTCAGCTGGTAATGAGTCATGCCCTCAACCTCAGACCTCAGAACATCTAGCTGCTATAGAAATCATGAAACTGAAGCACATTTTGATTCTACAGAATAAGATTGACTTGGTGAAAGAGAGTCAGGCTAAAGAACAGTATGAACAGATTCTTGCATTTGTACAAGGTAAGTTTTCAAGAGCAGAAATCTAGTAAGTGGTGGAAATTCAGTGTTGAGACATGGACATAGTAGTTTTCTGTATGTTCATAGAAAAGCTTATCTTGGGCAATGCAGGTGTACATAATCTGTTAATGTGAAAATTAGACTCTGGGAGTTGTGCTTCTTGCCTGTTTCAGCCTGCTTGCATACAATAGTGTTACGTCTCTGGGTCAGAGCTCTAGATGTAAAACTAACATCAGTTGCACTTACGTAGTAGCTTTCAGTGGATTTGTGGTATCTTCCTGGAGTGCTTCTTTGGTAGAGATTTCACTGTGATTTTACTGCAGTGCAGGAGAGAAGGAAGCTGTACTTGCTAGGGGCACCTTGTAGGTTTAAATACATTAATTTTTTTTTTATCTAATGACAAAAGATTGCTCTTTCATCTGTCTGTTTAAATCCAGTTTGGGCAGTGTTATCTTACTCTGTAAAGGTCTGCTCACCTGTACAGTGATTTGAGTTTTATCTTTCCCTGGAGTTTCCCCTGTTTTCCCTGTTTATCTGCAGTAGGTGGGATATGTGACAACTGCAGAACTAGATTGTCAGCACCAGAAGTTACCAGTGGGTCTTTCTTTTCCTTTTTTCTTTCTTTTTTCTTTTTCTTTTTTTCTTCTTTTGTAATTCATAATTGTTGCCTTGCAGAAGCTGTTCATAACTGTCAGAGTGGCTTGATGTGTAAATTTGGAGTTTGAAAATTCCAAGTTGTTGCAAGGAACATAAGGACTTTTCTAAAATATGTATTTGTATTGAAAAATTTGAAAATCATAAATCATTAAATTAACAGGAAATTTAGTGTGTCATCATGAAACCTGACTGTAAAATTAACACTGCTGTATCCAATACTGAGATATTGACCTCTCTTAGGAAATCTTTAAAATATTTCTGATGACAATATAGGAAGTGAATTCTCCCTTGTGGAAGGTTATCTTGCACACTTTCAGAATGCTTCAAAAAGTAGGTGTGGCTATGTGAGCTAAAATGTTGAAGGGAGGGATAGATGCTCTGATACTGCTTTGGGAAATACACATATAACATGCCACAAGGACAGAACACTTAGTCATATTAAGGCTTAATGTTGAACTTGATTTTGTTTTAGGTACAGTTGCAGAAGGAGCTCCAATAATTCCAATCTCAGCACAGCTGAAGTACAACATAGAGGTGGTTTGTGAATACATAGTGAAGAAAATCCCGGTCCCTTTGCGAGACTTCACATCTGAACCAAGGCTCATTGGTATGTAAATGCTCAGGCCTGGGTTTGTGGCCAAACATTTTCTGAAAGTGTCTGCACTTGGAATAGCACATGCTGAGTGCCCTAAACAGAAGTGAGTTTAAAAGGAGTGTTTCGGATGCTCTTATTTTAAAACGTGAATGCCTTCTGAGATCTGTATTGTTTGTTCACTGCTAATTGCTGTTGGTTTTGTGTATAGTCTGTGCATATGACAGCTTAAAAGGCAATAAAAGTGAGAAATTTGTATCTTAGAAACATTCCTTTGGTTGTTATGAATTTAGTTTTGATATAACAAAATACTGGCAAACTGATGCATTTGATAATTAAATCATTTCCATGGAAATATTTTGGGAAGCTTTGTTAAATCTTTTGTATTTGACTCCTTTTTCCTGGTTATAATTGTCAAAGTTTCAGTTCTTTTCCAGCATACTATGAAATGCAGTTCCTATAAGGAATTCATTTGCTTGCCTTTTTTTTCCAATAATCCAAGGGAGTCCTACATTGCATAAATGCATAAAAATTCACCATGTTACATCAAGGTTACGGTGTTCAGCTATGAGTACATTAAAACAAAGTTCTGATATTCACAATTAACATTTTGAATATTGAAGCGGTTTTGTAAAATGGTTGATCATTGCTTTCTTTTTCAGATCTTTAAGTTACTTTCTAATATGCAGAAAAAATATTATGAAGCATTTATATATATGAGCAGTTTAAATAGTTTTGTGAATAAAATTGTCTGCCTAAAAATTTGGAATAAAATACTGATTGTTCTGGTTTTGTAACATTTATAAATATGTGTATCCTTTCATAAGAACAGAGAAGCAGTCAAAGTTGCTAAAGAAAGACATTGTTTAAAAACCTGATAGTAAATATAAACCTGGCTGTGATCTCTTCAGTTATTAGGTCTTTTGATGTCAACAAGCCTGGCTGTGAAGTTGATGACCTTAAGGGAGGCGTTGCTGGTGGCAGTATTCTAAAGGGTGTTTTAAAGGTAACCCTTTCTCTTTCTTGACTGGAATTTGTAATGACAATGAGTCCAGGTTTTCCACATTTGCTGCAAAATGTATCTATATAATTGATTTTTTTTTTCATTTTGAGTACAGTCACATGGCACTTATCCTTTCTGTATGTAGTTCATTTTCACTTTACAATTTTAAAACACCAGAACAAGAAGCACTAGTTTTATTTTTTAAAATATATTATTGTAGTCTTAATAATGATAACAGATTTAATTTTGCTAATAATGATAACAGATTTAATCCCTCACAAAAATGGAAGGAGCGGGTTTTTTTCCTGTCCTACCACTTCTACTTGCTGAATTATTGTGGGGAAGAGGAGAGCAAAAGAACTTTAAAAGCACACTTTAAAAGAAGTGTGTGTGGGTTCTCACAGGTCCCACTTTCCCATTTAAGTGTTCTGTATATTTTGATTTTTTTATTTTGCTTGCTTGCTGGCAGTAGACAGAAACTTTAAAAGGATTGCTTTGTTAGGCTGGAGAGCAAACTGTCTTTAAACATTTATACAGCTTGTACTTCCTCTGGTTTGCAGTGTATTGATGTCAGTCAGTTACACTGATTGAATTAACTCAATTTTTCTCAAAGCTGAAATATTTCTAAATTAAATACAGTGTTTAAAAATTAAATTTAATTGTTGGAATTATTGCTGATAAAGATCCTTTGCTAAAGCAGTTTTACAAATTATATTGAAAAGAAAATCAGATGTTACATTTACTGTAAATACTGTTCAATTTGCATCAAACAGTGCAACAGAAATCCTACGAGTTCTACACTAGCCCAGAACCAAGGACTCATACAAAGTAGATCTTGGGATACATAAGTCTTACTTGTGCTTAGTCAGCTTTGTGTTCCTGTGAAATAACCAGTTAAACACTTTCTCACTTTTGTCATTAGGTGGGCCAGGAAATTGAGGTGAGGCCTGGTATTGTGTCCAAGGACAGTGAAGGCAAACTCATGTGCAAGCCAATCTTTTCCAAAATTGTGTCACTCTTTGCTGAACATAATGATCTACAATATGCTGCTCCAGGAGGCCTTATAGGTAAGAATATTCTCTTATGAAAAGCTTAATTTCTTCATGCTTATTGAAAACACTTGGTTTCATTCAACAGTCAATTTGAGTGTAATTAACAAAAACACCATGAGGATTTTTAGATAATTCATATATGTAGAGAGAGACAGGGTTGGTGTGAAAAATGGATATTTAAGAATTAAATCATTTTCCTGAATGTCACTGGCCTATACAGGTCAGCTTGCACTGTAAATTGTACCAGCTTTAACAGCAGAATATTTCTTCATCTGTTTAGATAGAGCTCACAGTCTTGCTGACATTCTGAAAGTGCTGCCCAGGTAGTAGGAAATTCCCAGTACATTCTCTGTTTTTTTAGATCATCTTCAAATATTTTAGCTCATAAAAATGACAACAACCTTTCAGTTACTCCGTCTGACTTCCCTTGTTGTGTTGTAGGTGTTGGCACTAAGATTGATCCCACTTTGTGCCGGGCTGACCGCATGGTGGGCCAAGTTCTTGGGGCAGTTGGGGCACTGCCAGAAATATTTACAGAGCTAGAAATTTCCTACTTCTTGCTGAGACGACTCTTAGGTGTGCGCACTGAAGGAGACAAGAAAGCTGCAAAGGTCTGTGCCCCTTCTTTTGTTCTGGTTTTGCTTCCTGTGCTAATTTTCATTAATGAATATATTTCTTTGATCATATGTAGACATTTTGTCTCAATGTTGATACAAGCTTGTCACAAAACTTATCTGCTTGTTTAATACTGTCAAAGAATGGTTTTCAGAGGAGTAGAAATTCATATCAGTAGTTTAAATCAGCATAAAGTATTTATGTGTCATGAAATGTATTTTTCTAAACATGCTGGTAGCTGTTTTCTTTTGCTATCATTCTATTCATTTGTGCAATAATTGGTTTTACAGTGGTACTGATCTACTTCCTGCTGAGATGCTTTTTGTAGGTTTTTTCACTGAATAAACTTTAAAGTTTAAATATTTTTTAAATACTCTGGTTGAAAAAAAAAACTGAACTTGAGGCACAGCACCAACTTTTGTAACACAATCTATTTTACACAAATGAACTAAAAGATCATAATTTCCTCAGTTGGAATTTAAAATTATAAACTGCTTCATGCAACAGTGAGCAAAATGCTTCAGCACTCTCTTATCCTGTGAAATTGATTATTTGAATTTTTTTTTTTTATGTAGGCATAAGGGAAATGAGAATACACCATCCTGGTAAATAATCTGTAGAACATCACAGTTCATAACAAAATCTATGTTTTTAATACGTTATATGAAATCATCGGTATATAGAAAATGTAGATCAATCCCAAGAAAGTACATCATACCAAGAACCTCAGAACTATATGTACAACATCTTTATGTATTTGTCCTTTTGCATATAAAACTTCCATCTACTGACACTGCTGCCCATAATTTGTGTGTGTATATTTATAGTATTTCTCAACTGTATCTTTTTGTGGCAAGAAGATAACAGAAGATAACTTGGTACTGTCTGTGCTATTTTGTTTTTTAGTACTAAAGCTTATGTTTCAGAGTTTTGTATGTCTGTCTTCAGGTGCAAAAATTATCGAAGAATGAAGTTCTGATGGTAAACATAGGATCCTTATCTACTGGAGGGAGAGTCAGTGCTGTAAAGGCTGATTTGGGGAAGATTGTGCTAACTAACCCTGTATGCACAGAAGTGGGAGAAAAAATTGCTCTGAGTCGAAGAGTTGAGAAACATTGGCGGTAAGTTGGTGCAAAGCTGGTGGGGTATGTGGTGGCTACATTGTTAACAAAAAAGTACATGGATCTGATTTTGTACTAGAAAAGGTAAGTGTATGTCTGTTTTAAAAATTATTCTGGATTCTCCTAAGATATTGTCACAATAGTTGTAGAATGCTTCATTTCATTGCTATCCCTTTTTTAAACAAACACCATGATTGGGAGGGTACCTGTTAGTTAACAAAGAAACACCTGAGGTTCATGTTTGTTGCCCAAACTGCCAGGCTGTAAATTGAGCTCAGTAGGGAATCTCGGCAAAGGGGTTGGGAAATTCTCACAATGTTAAGCCAAACAGCCATCTTTATGCACACCTCAGTAGTTTTCTACCTGTGGAGCTGCATGTGATTTCTAGTGCAACCTGGAAGTAACAGCAGGGGAACAGAGGAGGGATGTTTGAATATTTTACGTACTACAAGCACAGAGGAAAGAATAAAGTATCAACTGGATTGACCCATTCGAATCACAAATATAAAATGTCTGACTGCAGAAGCATCTGGAGGCTGAAAATGATGTACAGAATTGGTTGGTGATTCATTTTATCTCAGTGCCAGACTCTTTAGGTGATTACATCCTGTACCTGTCACAGGTTTCCTAAGTCTGGATTGATAAGAACAGAAGAGTATTTAGATTTGTCAGCTCTGCACAGCTCTTGTAGTATGAGAGAGCACAGCCATTTTTACAAGAAGTCTATACTGTATGGAAAGGAACCAAGCTTTAAATATCCATGGACGCATGTTTCTTTTTCAGATGACAAGAAAATGTAGACAAGAATTTAGTGCTTGCTGTCTCAGAGCAAGATGACAAATTAGGGAAGAGATTATTTTCTGAAAAAAAAAAAAAAACAAAACCAAAAGAGATAGAGGTTTATATTAATTTCAAATAGTGAATGTTTTAATACTTTTCCTAAATGCCGGCAGCATTCTAAGGGCATAGGTTGTAAAAAAAAAAAAAAACCCAAGGCAAAAGACAACATGTCTTGAACAGGAGGGAAAAAAAGGCAGGACCCAAATTAAGTCAGGTAAAGCAAAAGGAAGAGGAGAAACTGTATTAGAAATTATGCTTGCTCTTTTTTTTAAGCTGTAGACTGATAGCCTGTGCAAATAATAATGTGTCTTTTGTTGCTTCTGGAGATTATTTCCCAGTTAAAAAACTTGACCAAATTTTGCCGAAAAGCCCACCCATCTCTTGATTATGAGGTGGGCAAATAGTGGCAGCCTGCGGTAAATATAGTTATTGAAAAGTTGATTCCTATGCTGTATTAAAAAGATAAAGACAATATAAGGAAACTAAAAAGTTGGGAAAAGGGAAAGAAGGCAAACTGGGAAAACCAGCATAATAAAATCTAATTGTAGGAAAGATAATATACAGTTGGTACTGTGAAAAGGAACTTGCAGCCTGAGACAATGGAGTACTGAAAACAGAGAAGAAAGTTCATAAAGAAAGACTAAAAAGAGATATAAAATAAAAAGGAAATATAAAGAGGCATAGGGAGAGGTTCAACAGCAAATGGGATACTTGAGTGATTCCAAGGATCAGTGAATTCAAAGATGGTCAAGTTATGACCCATGGATATGGTACTAAAAAGTGGGAAATGCTGCTCTGATAAACTTCAGTTTCTTTTCTGGTGTCCCAAGACAGGCTCTACTGCTTAGCAAGGTAAATTGAGATGCATGTGGGGTTTCTCACCAGAAATTGGAAAGGTCTTGAACACAGTTTTACTAATAATATGAGATACCTGCTGTCTGTGGAAATGGATGTATCCTGAATTTCTTTCTACAAGTATATTTTTCTGAGGCAATAGTGGCCTATAAAAAAGGCCTTCATTTTCCTGAATATAAATAGCAACACTCACCTGAGAGCTGAGTTACTGCCACAGGCTACCATTGAGAGTTACAGCTGTTTGTAATCTTAGTGAATTTTCATTTCTCCTTCAAAGTAATGCAACACTTCACACACAGGTGAAAGATCAAGCTGTGAATAGATTTACCATCCAACAGTACAAAATGAGTTACAATATTTTCAGATTTTCAGCTTCTCTTCAGGAGTACACACTTAGCTGGTCACAAATGTCCTCTGTCCTTCACCCTTTTCTATTCAGTGTTCCCACTAAGCAGGTTTAGTTCTTGTAGAATGTTTTGGATGGGAGACAAGTGTAGAAAATCCAAAATGTAAGAACTGAAGGCATAAGAAGGACAGAAGGATGTCGACTTATTCAGGATGTTTCTGACTACTAGTAAAAGTAATATAAACCTTTATTTTTTTGCAGTTTAATTGGTTGGGGTCAGATCAGAAGAGGAGTGACAATCAAGCCAACTGTTGATGATGACTGAAGAACAAAAGAGTGCTTCATTTTTAAAGATGAAGTGCCTATTTCTGTTTTGGAGGGGGTGTATTTTCACAGTGGAATTGGAAGCTGTGCAAACAGGATCTTGGAGTTGTATGGCTGTCCTCATACCTTTTATTGAATTTTACCCTCTTACTAAAATACTAGTCACTATCACCATTAAAAGTGTAAAAGAATTGGCATAGGGTGGGTTTCATTATCCACGTTTTAGTAGAAATTAATTGTACATGTCTCATGGCATGTCTAATTTATGTTACTTTGTGTTTCAGACATATCTGTTTCATATCAGTCAAACCAGCCCCAGTGTAACACACAAACCATAAATCTGGTATTGAAATAAAATATTGCTTATTTTCATTAATTCATACAGTTTTTCTAAGTAACAAAAGACTGCAGTGATTGTTCCACGTTCAAGATTTAAAAGCAAGCAAACTCTTCTTGGAAGACTAGTACCTTTTCTGCACAATTTATGTTTAGACAACTGTTACCAACAAAAAACTTTATTTCTTTGTTTCTATGGTTCTGATTTTAGGATTCTAAAGTATTCCACTTTGTAATTAGGATGGCAATACTGACTGACTTGAATTTGTCATTTCTGATATTACTACATGTTTTCTTAAATCCCCAAAGGGAAACCACAAGTAAACTGGATCTGAACTGGCAGTACTGGTTTTGACCTATAGTATGGATTTATGAAAGTAATGTGATTGATTGGGACATAACTTTGTCATCATGGAACTCTGTGGGAGTGACTTGGGAGTTCTTTATACAGTAGGAGTAAACAACTTTAAAATTTTGTTGAGCAAATATAAAATACTGGGAAGAGGCTGTAGAAAGGAATGATTTGGGGTGAGGGCAGAGTTATGGTGGTGGAATAGTGAATAAGGTGAGGAAAAAAGGTATAAAACCACTTTTGTTTAGCTACTCTGAACCACAAGCCTCAGGATAAAACAATGTAATAAACTTACTGTAGGGTGCTAATACTTTAATCCATTTAGATTTCACTTCTTCATTTGTACTAATATACATAGTTCTTGCTGGTTTATATACTATTTAGCAAGTTGTGCTACTTAACATATTTTGGTACAAAGTACTGCATGTTTTCAAAGTTTGGTTTTGGTTTTATTCAATATCTTCAAGGGCTTTCTAAAGCCCTTTCACTCATCAAACTGGAATTTGATGAAACAGCTTGCATTTCGTTCCTGATTTTGCACTATATTGTGTTCCCTTACTCTGTCTACATTCCTGTACTCAGTTTTTCCATTTGTAAAGTACTAGCTCACATGGTGTTGAGAGTAAATACATTAATTTTTGAATAGTGCTTTTCCATTTTAAAAGCAGGAGTCAGGTGTAGTTCTCTCTGACTCTCAGGCACTTAACCAATCTACAATCTTAAATGTCTCTGTTTCAAGGATTCCATCTTCCATGCTTTGGTAGCTCCTTTCTGTAACTGTGAATTCTAGGAACTTGTATACACCTAAGCCTTACCTAGTCTGGTGGCAGGAGGGTGAGCATAAAAGAGATGTAAGCTATAGCAGAGTGCTTGGATGGCACTCTGCAGGGTGAAATTAGTGCAAAGTCCTTTCTCAGTGCACTGCACTTGTGGGTCTAATGAAAAACATGGGGAAAGCTTTTGAGAAACTGGTTAAGCACCCACAGACATTTTTAGACATTCAGATATTTTGGATTGTGTCTCTCTTAATCTGCAATTTAAAGAACACTAGTGCCATAATCTTGCTGAAGTTGTGCATGGACCTGCTTTCCCCATGGCTTTTCCAGGCAGGGTGAAGCTCTCACAAGGATCACCTCTTTCTGCACTGTGCTGTATATCCTGTCACACCACGATGAGGGCCTGGGGCAGATCACATACTGAGTTCTTTTTTGGCCACCAAAATGTTAAGATTTCTTCCAGTGGGAAGCTTTGACTGCTGACATGAGCGATAAGTAATGGCATTTTGAGACTGCTGAATACATGGAACATGTCTCTGCAGCACTGGGGAGACAAGTGTGAACAGTGTAAGTACAAATACATTGTGTGCTGTACCACCCCGTCCTCAGTCACTGAACAGTGATGCTGAGATGTTGAATGACAAGAGAAAGCAGTATCATGTACAGCTAAAGAAGTTGAAGATTATTTTGATTTTCTTGGCCAGGATGAAAATAGTGACAGATACCTTGTAAGCTTTCTCAATTTACCAAGGATTTTCTTCAAAGTGATTTTATTTTTTAGGTCATATTTAGCTACCCGAACGGAGGTGTGCATTTGTGTTTCTAATGGGTTGAGTACACAAATGTAGATACCTTGTGTAGTGGTACAAAGTTGAAATGTGTCAGTAGTTATTTCTAAGACTTCACTGTGTATTTGGGAGATGCCGTTTCAAGCCAAATATCAGATTCTGTTCTGAAAGGGTGAAGAAAAAACTTTCAATTAATACCTTTGCTGATTTGGTCCTAGTATACATGAAATCCAGAAAAAAATTTAATTTTTTTTTTACTGCATTCGTTTTGCGACACTTTGAAAAAGTGCTACCTTCTAGCTCACTGCTGCAGAAAGGTTTCCTGCTGGTTTTTCCATGCTGAATCATGTGGATGGACGTCCAGACCGCCTGCAGGAAAGGTTTAAACTTCTGTCCCGCCCCTTCCCCATCAGTGCTTCTGCCAGGGTAAAGTCCCCGCTCCGCCGCCCCTGCCGTTCTGGGTCAGTTCTCGCTGCCAGGCTGGGGCTAAACATTTATAAAGTTTCAAACGCCTGCCCCCCTTAACCACCACCCCAAAGCACCAAAAGTACCGACTGCCGGTCCCAGCTCCCGCCCCGTCCTGGCCGAGGCACGGCCCAGGGACATCCACAACGTCCTGTGGGATTTTAGGGACATCACCAGACCCTGTGAGCACCGCTCCTTATTCATCGGTTCTGCCACTGCCACAATTCTGGCACCGCTGGCTTCGTGGCTGATGTTCACTTACCACGGTGCTAAAATTACTACTGTGCTCTGGCTTCGTGTTGCTGCGTTTGTTTCTGTACAGCTCCGTCTGTACGTGCTCATTGAATGTTCCAGTCATCTCCAGTCCACCCCAGTGGGTAGTAAAAGTGCATGTTTCATCCTTTTCCAGACTAAAAACCCAGCCAGAAGAACCAATTTTACAGAAATTTTGGTTTATGGTGAAAACCATAGAAGCTGTAAACAGTGAAAAACTGTGTAAGTGATACAAGTATGTAAATAAATTCTCCTTTCTTACCCTGAAAGGATTAAAAACCAAACAAGTCTCCTAACATGGGCACTATATGTGCAATGAAGAAAGAACAAAATAGCAAGAGAATTTTGTTACCAAGGAGCAGGTATCTTGTTCAACAGATATCTTACCTCAGATATTTAAATAAATACATATTCTTTAATGTCTTTTATAAAACAAGGCACTAGAATGCTGTGCCCAAACACAGATGAAAACTGTCGAAATATTTTAGTTGAAGTAATGTCAATATACCTGATATTTACTTGTGTTGAGCAATGCTTCATTAAGAAATTGCGCACACTATACATTTATAAAACACAAACTTTTCTGTTCAGTTTCTTTCTAAAGCCTAACATCGTTTTTTGAATATTTCAGTAGAGTTGGGGGGAAAAAAAAATCAAGGTTCACTTAATTAAGTGTCGTGTTACACAATCCTAAGGATCCAAATTAATCAGGGCAGCAGCTCTCCCTTTTTGCCTCCTTGTGGGCATTTGTAAAGAAATCCAACATACTAGACTGGATTCATGATGTTATTTAGAAAACCCCTTCCCCTACCAAACACTACACTTTTCTATATTTAGATATTTTTGTTTATTAGGTGTTCAATGAAGACCTGAAAAGTGTTTTCTCCTGCAAATGCACCGTAAGGTTCTCTGAACTCATTTCTTTTCCCGGTTTTGCTTAATCATCTATTTGATTAGGTAATCTATTGTGTATCTCAAAATACTTCACTTGCAACATCATCCTAACTACCACACAACACAGTTAAGTCTCAGCTTTTGCAAGTTTTCATTAAAGCAGCTTTTTTTAACCTTGGTGACTAGCACTGGGCATACAGAAATAGAATAATTTTTTGTACTTTTTCTTGGCTACAGCCAAAATACTGTTGATAACAAAGTTTAGTAACTATTATTTTTATTTCTTTAAATTGTCTCCCATTTACTGCATTGGCAGTAATTGTATACACCTAAATCCTTTAAAATCTAACATGGAGTCATACTTCACACCAGAAAGAGGTATGGGAGTATAATTAGTTCTTCCACAGCAATCACAAGCATTCACATATCCTCCATATGGTTTTGGCTCCTTGCCTCCTGCCTCGTTGTCTGTTAGCACACGTTAAACACGCCAAGCCAGCAAACACTGGTACAGCCCCGTGAACCACACAGTGCTTGTGTGCTTCAGGCACACAAATTGTCCTGTTAACACTGCTGGGACCCTTGTGCACTTGAAGGTGAGCTTGTGCTGTTTTGGAAACTGGAATCTTAAAATTACCTCAATTTTTCTGAAAGCTTAATTCTTCCTTTAAATTCATTGATACTTCACACTGTTGCTCTTCTACCGACATGTGTGTTCATGCTGGGAATTTATTTTTGCAGTTAAAACCTGACATTTTGTCTTTGAAAGCATTTTGAGCCTTATGGGAAGGTGTCTGTTTTGACACATAACATCACAGGAAAGTGGACTCTTGGTACGTTCCAGAGCAACCTGGTTGCTTTATGGACTGGTGAAAGCTCTCCAGGTGGAAGCTGATCACCAGCTCCCATCCATTCAAGGGAAGTGCAGTTAATATAGCTACAGAAGAGCTTTGCTGGAAAGAGACCAAATAACACAGGTTTGAACTGACAAACACTAAAAATCAGTGTTGTCCTAATAAAGTCTCCCCAAAAAGAAGGTTGGTCCCTCAGTGTAATGGTTTGGTTTGTAATGTCCTTTCTTGTTAAACGATTTACTAGAGAAACAGGGAGGGGCTGTTTCCATTTCAAAACGCAATGCTTATATAGTCACCGAAGCAGATAACCCTCAGGGCCATCTACAACTCCATCAGCTGAGGAAAGGAACTCTTTTAACACTTCGAAATCTTCTCTACCCTTTCTTTTTCAAGATCCATCAGTGTTGACTTCTAACACTGTATCAGGCTGAACATCTACCAGTCTTTTTACCTTTGTTACATGTACTCACCAACAACTCTAGGCCTCTTTGATTCATGGGCAAATAAGGTAAACTAAATGAGAGTTTACAGAATTATGGAGGAAATAATGGATTTTTTTATGTCTGCCCCCTCCCTGTCCCTGCAACCAATGAGAGTTCAAACTAAGAGCTGTTATTTGAAATTGTAGAATAAATAATTAACCATCCTACCTAATTAAAAATACCTTTAAGCTTGCACAGCACATAATCAGGAAGCACTAGAAATAAAACTGCCTGTGAAAGCCTTCCTTTAACAACTAAGTACAACGAAGGATTAGGAAGCCTACTGAATATTTGTAAACCAACACGTCAGAGATTTTAATGCAGACAAATGACTTGCCAATTCTCCACAGGATGCAAGGGACTCCTGCTCAACACAAGGACCACCCTGCTGTTTAAATGTATGATCTGTTTTCAAGTTTTTTTGTATAGCTTTTCAATTTAAAAAACAAAAAAAAACTCTTCTCTTACTTTTTCCCTTTTCTTTCATCTTTTCTTTCCTTATATTTATTTTTCTCCTTCTTTTTCTCTCCTTTTCTTCTTTTCCTTATCTTTCTTCTTTCCTTTTTTCTTATCCTTCCTTTTCTCTATTTCTTCTTTTTCTTTCCTTTTCTTTTTCTCTTTCTTCTTTTTCTTTTCTCTATTAGGCAAATAATCTGTATTTTGATCTGAGGCAGCTGACAAAACTGTGTCTGGAGTCTTCACCAAAAAATTCATTTCAAGGCCAACACCCCTTAGGGAAAATTTCAGACTTGTGAAAGCTGGCAAAGTTTTACGAGCAACTGAAAACTTGTACAATGCAAAATGTCAGCTTCAAAGTAAGTGACATTACACTGCACATTGCTGGTATTTTTGAGTAGAGAGGTTATCTGAGATATAGGCAGCTCTACAGATACTGGCCTTACAACAGTTTCACTAATTCAAACCTATTAGGTCAGTTCCAACCTACTGACCTTGTATAACTGAAAGAGAAAAGACACAGACTGAATATCTGGACCCTCTTCTGATCTTTCTCTACCAATATCCTGTGTAGCACAGCACAGACAGACCAAACACAAGAGCCTTGCATTCCTCTTCTGGGTCCCAACACTGTGGGATTTTTTTACACTGGA